TCACCTAACTTTGACCGCCAGGCACCTAACCTGATGGAACGACGACCGCCAGACACCAAACTCAGACCGCCAGACACCTAACTTGATGGAACGACCACCAGACATCTAACTTAGACCGCCAGGCACCTAACCTGAATGGTTTGAGGGTCTTTGTGTGCCTGTAAGTAGAAGTCGCGCACTGATGGATTAGCGACTCCCTGATCGGCAATGAATTCTGTGCGTACCTTCAGAGTTCACATTCCGCCAGGATATGGTGCACCAAACTGAGGGTAGTAGTGCTGACTCTGCAGATATCGAGCCTGAGATTCTTGGGGAGGATAGCCTGAGTGAGGCTGTGGGAAGCGGCCTTCAACATTATGTGGCGGGTGGTGTGCTGGAGACATGAAGGGTTGAAATTGGTGTAATGGTGGGGCACGAGAAGAGCTGGAGGGTCCAGAGATAGAGCCAGTATGCCGGGGCTGTGGATGGTCAGAAGGAAAGCGAGGCGTCAAGGTCATATAGCGATTAGAGGCCTGCACTGCAGAAAGTGGATCCATTGGGGTGCCCTGCACGTTTTGTGTTTGCCGATGAGTTGGGTGAATATGATGAGCAGGTAGAGATGGCAGAGCATGGAATTGAGAGGGGAAATATGACTGTGGGGGAGGGCAATACAACGGGGGTGGCGATTGGTGGAGTGGAGGCGACAAATGTAAGGGTGGAAGAGAAGGAATTGGCAGAGGTGGAGGGAAAGAATGATGTGGAGGATGGGGTGGCTGGAGTGCCTGTGAGTAAACATGTCGCAGAGGTCCCATTGGTGGTGTAAAGATGATTTGATGTTGCATCAATGCTTCCGAATTTTGCTGAGTAGGTGCCATCTTCCTTTTTCCCTGCACACTCGAGCCACTTGCGCTTGCTTTGGCTGGTTTTGCTTTGGCTTTAGGTGCAGACTTCCGTGGTTTAGCCGGAGCATGATCAAAGGCAGAAGGTGGCGCTAAAGATAGCTGAGCGTCCATACCCTCGTCACTACCTGCCAGTTGAGACGTATCTCCACCTTTCTTCACTGCTCTCTTGTCTCGTAGTTGGCGTATGGCCATAGCGCGGACTTCAGCTGCATTGGTAACCCGAAGTGGTGTCTCTTGAAGCGTATCGGGAACAACATGTTGGATGTGAGCATAGTTATGCACGGAATAGACATTGAGAAAAAAGTTTGGCGTGGACTTGTGTTTGACTGTGGCCTTCGTTCGAGAGGTCTCTATCCGTTCTTGATGTACAGGTTGTTGTTGGATGTCCGTGCACTGTGAATCAAGGCAATTATGTTGAATATTGACAGCACAAATGATGTCCTGTAAGGTGATCACAGTGAATGTTTGACTCGCATATAAAATACACAACATACTATACCAGTTGAAACTGTCTCGTTGTTGGTAAGATCAATGCACAGCAGGTGGAGAGACGGGTGCAGAGCAGCTGCAAATGTGAAGAGCTGGAGCGCAACATGATCTGCGGTTTGACTGTCCTGGGATGATACGAGAATCTCGCGAATACGTCCAATATACAACTGGAAGCAGCATCACAGCCGTGTCAATGAGCAGCTGTTGTGATGAAAAGAAAAGAAGACTGGCTCACCTTCCTGTCCACCGGCTGTCGGAAAATAACATGACTATTCAAGCTCGCATGTTCTCCCTCGCTTGTTACAACTGACTTGGCCTGATAAAGCTCGATTCCGGGCCGAGCAGTCCCAAGAATCTTCGCACAACAAGTAGTGCTCCACAGGACCACGTCTTTTCGCACTGACTTTTGTGTTGCAGTGGGAGTAGTGGTTTCAATTTTTCCTGAACCTGTACATCATTAGTATAGTAATAGCGCATGTTATTAGACTGACCAGGTATTGGAGGATTATGACTCGAATTCAGTATGCCAAGAAGCTTTGCTTGTTCGGGATGTTCATCAAGGTAACATAGAACCTGTACTCCCGCACAGACCCATTTCTTGACTGTGGGATCATACCAGTATCCGCCAGTAGCGATATGTTTGACCGTGTCCTGGTGTGAAAAGATCCTGCAAGTATCTCTACTTGGCGCCTGTCGGTTGCTGTGGATGCACGATAAACGGAATACATGATTGAATGACTCGTATCGCTCAGTTGAAAAAACAATCGCAGGGCCGAAACGCCGAATGTACGCAGGAAGATGGATGAGGAAATGAAACTTTGGTTTGCTTATCAGGATGCTCGGTGCACATTGTGTCGTGACATTCAAGAAATCTTCGATGGTTTGAGACAGTATTGCCTATCTCGCAAGGGTATCAGACAAGCCTATCGAATAGAACGTGCATTGAACTCACAAGATATGCTTCCGTATCTGTAATTTTCGTATGCCAGACAAGCACGACGAGTTCACCAATCACTGTCCAGGCATTGAGGACCGGCAGAGGAACAAGGTCGTGAATGATGAATGGCATAACTTGCGCCAAACTTTTGAAATGCTTGCCGATTAAACTACCTTTATAGTTGTTACAAGTAACATCGGTCACGTGGCCCCCCTATCATTTTCCCTTCATCCTCGCCCTCACCATCTACCGGCTCGTCCTCCTTTACCGCCTTTCCGTTGACCGGATTCTCGGGACCGTTGAAGGTTCAACGATACTGCGAGGCACGAACAATGCTCCTGACTGTATCTATAATTGTTGTAAGGTCGTGCGTTGCCTAGTCTGCTATACTTGAGACGACAAGTGCGTTCGACCCTAAAGGGGAAGCGAGTGCAGCAAGGATCTAGAGGTATGCGCTGAAAGCGCTACTGGTTGGCCAATGCGAAGCGCGGGAAAGCGCAGGTGCGCGCAAGGCGCGGGAATGCGCGCGTGTATGGCGCGAAGCGCGGGAAAGCGTGCGCGTGTATACAGATATGAGAGAGAGTAAGAGTGAGTTTGCTTAAGTGATGATATGATGTAAGACAAGAGAAGGGAGATGCGAGGTGTAAACAAATAGATTTCTACTATGTTCTGCTAGGTAAATAGTGGGTAGTAACCAGTAAGTCCTCTGTCGTTCTGGTGGGAGAGTAAGTTGGTTAGTCATAGTATGTACTGCTGGCGCTTAAGTATGGCGCCTAAGCGCTGTCATGCGGAGCCGAAGCGCTACCGAGTAAGGTATGTAAAGATATATGTAAGTAAGGGTCCATGATAAAAATAAAGATGGAACGATAAGCAAATGTGAGAAATGGAAATATACGCACTAGGGAACTTGGTGGACAGTGGATGGATGCTTCCGGATGGCTGGCGCTATAGGGCGCTCAAGCGCGGGAAAGCGCGCGCGCATATACATCGTGAAGCGCGGGAAAGGTACGCGCGCATGGCGCGCGTTGCGTGGGAAAGCTGCGCCTCATATAGAGATAGCTGCGGGTAGCACACAGAGTGATGCTACAAGTTCGTGCCATGTACTCCCCAGTGAAAACTGCCATATTGCACAATGAGAGGCATGAGTCTCTACATCTCCCAGGGACTTAAATTCTGAGTGTCCCCACTCAGCGCGTGTGTGGTGAGGATCTCAAGTGATAGTATGCGAGTACGATGCATGTACAATGCTTGGGTTGTTGGGCGATGAATGCGCACGCATAGGAATGTATCACATGATATGCACGAAGCGCGGGAATGCGCAGGTGCGCGCGAGGCGCGAAGGTGCGGGAAAGTGCGCGCGCATATGCGCTCGAGGCGTGGGAATGCAGCATAGCATGGCGAATTGCAAGGGTGACTCTGGTGTGAATAATGCACCATGGGTGTGAGGCGATGATGTGAGAGTGATATGGCTGTGGTGTGCGAGGCGCGCGCGTATGGCGTGAAGCGTGGGAGAGTGCGCGCGCATAAGGCGCGAGAACATGCGTGAGTGTTGCATGCGCTGCATTCTGTGGGGGCGCAAGGGGCTGTTGCACAATGATCTCTGAGTCCAATATGCGTGCATGAGCATGATGCAAAGTGGCACGGTCCAAGAGCGATCCAATCCATGTCCAAACCAAGTCCTGCTAGGTGCGCTAAATATTAGGTGCTAAAGGTTTGAACAGCATGAGTAAAACTTTATGCGAAAATATGAAGAGAAAACAGTAAACTTTGCAGATGTCCTATCCGACTTGTCTTCTTCGTGCGGCTGTCGACATCTACACCTTCCTATGAGCAAGGCGCGGGAAGTGCGCGCGCACGTGAGGCGCATGGGTGCGGGAAGATTGCGCGCATATCTGCGCGTTCTAAGGTAAAAAGAGCATGGTGCCGCGTCATGCGTGCGAAGAGAAAATAATATCCTATTGAGCTAGGCGGGCACAATCTAAGGTTGTTTTGGTGTTTTTTTTCTTCTATATTCTTCTAGGCGATCCCTATATGCATATATATCTGTGTGTTATTAGTCCTTTGGATGGTGTTATAATGAGAGAAAATAAAAATGAAAGAGCACTGGACGAAACCCAGGGTAAAACGAACGGTATCCTATGAAACAGCAATGGTATGTGTTTTTCTTTGGTGCGCAGCTGAAGCGCTTGAAGCGCGTGGTGTGTGTGGCATAGGCGAGGGTCAGAAGGCGCAAGGCTGGCGCGCTTGGGGTGCTTGGTTCCTCTTCATCAAGCCTTTTTGATTGTGACTCCGAGGCGGGCTAGTAACTGGCAGAATGAATTCCTGCACAACGCGCTGCAGGTTGAAGGCGCGCCAATGGGAGGCGCTGCAAGGGGTGTAGAGGTGCTCTACAAGCTGATAGGATGCGCGCGATGTGCGCGCCTTGGGGCGATTTCGCGTGAATTTGATTATATTGGCCGAACATGCGAGGAACGGCCATTTCTCTGCAAATGTGTTAGCGAGAGACATATATAGTTTGGAATTAGGCGCAAATGTTGTGCGAATGGGCTGTAAGGGTGGTTTATCAAGGCGCAATAGGCGCATAGGTGAAAGAGAATAGTGCACGTCAGGGTGTGCAGGAACAAATTTGACATGGTAAGCAAGAATGTGAAGAATGCGAATAAATGTGGAAAGTGTGAAGTTAAAGGTGATGATGGGGGAATTAGGCGCATATGTATGTGTCAGGCGCGCGCCTAAGTCGCGCCTGGATGGCTGATTGGAATATATTTTGTGTTGAATGACAGAAATGTGATTTAAAAGGGGAGAGACAATAGAAGTGCGATAGTGTGAAGACTCTGCTAAAATTATGGATGCGCGAGGCGCGGGAATTACCGCACAATGCGCGCGATCATGGCGCGTGAACAAGGGGTGGTGCGAAGATGAAATTAAAGTGTTTGGAATTCTCATATAGCTCCTTAAGAGCTTTAAACATGAAAGGGACAAAAAACGCGAAATGAGATGAGGGAAACTATACAATGCCTCTAGGTGTGCGCATTGCGCGTCCTCAGGCGCAATATGGTGCGCCTGAGTCATCCCAGGGTCGCCTGAGACATGCTCTGCTTGGTGGTTGGGCAGTGTGATGCACGGATGCTTTACTGGCAAGGGATAGTCACTAGAAGCAAAAAGCACGACATGCGCATGATCGTTAGTGACAGATGGAATTACCAGAGGACAAACTCTGGTTGGCGCGAGGTGTTACTTGAGCCTCTGATGCGGTAGAAGGCTCCTCTATAGGCGCGCTAAGGTGCAATAGATGTTTAGGGTCATCCCTGACCTCTGGCGATGTGAACGGCGATAGCGGTGACAGTGAAGGCGTGATTGGCAAGATTTCATCCTTAAGCGATGCAATAGCGATAGGCGAGTGTGTTTCAAGCGATGGCGTAATAACTTCCACAATGGGCGCGTTATTGTGCAATAGATGTTTAGAGTCATCCCTGACTATAGGCGATGCGATAGCGATAGGCGAGCGTGATTTGAGCGGTGCATTAATGTGCAATAGATGTTAGAGTCATCCCTGACTATAGGCGATGCGATAGCGATAGGCGAGCGTGATTTGAGCGGTGCATTAATGTGCAATAGATGTTTAGAGTCATCCCTGACTACGGGCGATGCGATTGATGCTGATGTGGGCAGCAAATAAGAATTGTCAGCGTGCAAAACAGGTGAAGAAAGAGATGATGATGGGGGCAAAGAGGCGCCTGCAGTGCGCTTCTGGTTGCGCTTCGCAGGGCGCGCGCTCGAGTTCGTGATCTAAAGCGATGCAGTCTAGTATAGCTTTGTGTGCTGGCGCAGTTGATGGTTCAGGCGAGCGTGAATCGCGCGAAGGCGTGGGAAAATCGTGCGCACGAGGCGCAAGGAATAGGAACTGGTGGCCTTTTGTCAAGTACAACATCTGAGGATGCGCGATAGAAGAGTCCAGCTGTCACACTAGCGCTAGTGGACGTATCCTGCGTTGCGCGGCTCGTGTAGTATTGATCTTTGCGCTTAGTTACCATGGCTTGCACCGGTGCTTGCGCTGGCGCGGTCGCTGGGACTAAGTTCGCAAATGGCACTACTACAGGCGCGTTAACTGGCGCGCTTGGCACGGGAAAAGCGCGCGCAGGTAATAGGAACTGTGCAGCTGCAAAGACGTCCATGAACGGATATGGGTCGTGTGGATAGTGGTCGGGGAACTTGATCATAAGGCGCAAGCGAATTTGCAGGCTGAGCATCTCTAGGGATTCCTTCCATGAATAAGCGGTCGCGTTCGGCCTTTCCAATACTGGTCTTCATCCATCAGTGGCTGCATAACCTTCCTGAATGCGCGCAAGTAATTGCTTAGTTCAGGTGCAAGAGGGCATTAGGTTTGTTAGCGTATTCTCGTGCGATGGCGCGTAAGTCCGCGAGTGCGTAGCGTCTCTTTCCATCCCATCCAGGATACATTACCTTAACTTCTGCCATGAATGCATCATAATCACTTACTGCCGCTTCAGGCATGCCTCCCCATAGTTCTCGATCATCGCGTTCAAGGTAGCGAATAATACCTTTGATGCGGTCGAGTCCTTGGAGTCCTGCTTCATCAGCGAGCTGCTCATATGCGTCAATGAACTCGGCGAGGTTGTCTGTAGTGCCGTCGAATTTGGGCGCGTTTGTTGTGCCACGGATGGGCATTCTATAAGGCATTGAAGCGCGAGAAAGGCGCGCGAGCGAGGCGCGAGAAAGCGTGACTAAGATGGTTAGCTTGTGAAAATGCAAAGAGATTGACCTATATGTGCTAAATGGCGCTAGATGCGAAGATGCGCAGAACTAGATCTTGCTGACTGTTCCCCTCGCGGTGGGCTCCAGTTGAAGGTTCAACGATACAGCGAGGCACTGAACAATGCTCCTGACTGTATCTATAATTGTTGTAAGGTCGCGCGTTGCCTAGTCTGCTATACTTGAGACGACAAGTGCGTTCGACCCTAAAGGGGAAGCGAGTGCAGCAAGGATCTAGAGGTATGCGCTGAAAGCGCTACTGGTTGGCCAATGCGAAGCGCGAGAAAGCGCAGGTGCGCGCAAGGCGCGGGAATGCGCGCTTGTATGGCGCGAAGCGCGGGAAAGCGTGCGCGTGTATACAGATACGAGAGAGAGTAAGAGTGAGTTTGCTTAAGTGATGATATGATGTAAGACAAGAGAAGGGAGATGCGAGCTGTAAACAAATAGATTTCTACTATGTTCAGCTAGGTGAATAGTGGGTAGTAACCAGTAAGTCCTCTGTCGTTCTGGTGGGAGAGTAAGTTTTTTTTTAAGTAAGTATGTACTGCTGGCGCTTAAGTATGGCGCCTAAGCGCTGTCATGCGGAGCCGAAGCGCTACCGAGTAAGGTATGTAAAGATATATGTAAGTAAGGGTCCATGATAAAAATAAAGATGGAATGATATGCAAATGTGAGAAATGGAAATATATGCACTAGGGAACTTGGTGGACAGTGGATGGATGCTTCCGGATGGCTGGCGCTATAGGGCGCTCAAGCGCGGGAAAGCGCGCGCGCATATACATCGTGAAGCGCGGGAAAGGTACGCGCGCATGGCGCGCGTTGCGCGGGAAAGCTGCGCCTCATATAGAGATAGCTGCAGGTAGCACACAGAGTGATGCTACAAGTTCGTGCCATGTACTCCCTAGTGAAAACTGCCATATTGCACAATGAGAGGCATGAGTCTCTACACCGTCTGACAATACCTTAGCCTCAGGACGACGCAGGCAATAAAGGTAACTACAAGACAATTGCCCATTATGCCAATTATCCCATGGGACACATTCCTGTGTCCATGTCCACTTCTTGTTTCCAGTCTGCTCCCTTTTCCCCGTCTGCCCTGTATTCCCCGACTGCTCCCCTTTCCCTGTCTGCCCATTTCCTTCTGTTGGACTATAACCATATGTTGGCACAATTCTCAGATATTTTCGACCCAATCGAGAGCTCTTCAGCGCCATCAGAGATCGAAGTTGGTGTTACACAGGTCTGTTCCCTGGTTTTCTTCTGACCTCGGAATATACTCACTTTCTTCCAGGAGATGGCTGATGACATTGAAGTGGTCAAAGCCCTAACTTCACGCGAGCGACTTTCAGTCGTGCCAGAGGTGTATCTATCGGCACCGCAGTCTCCCGCAGATTCTTCTGTGAACCTCTACTCCCCTATGAACTCTGTACCAGAGTCGTGGATGGTGTCGTCTGCTGTGGATGTCAGTAGTGTTCAGCTGGACGATAATACACCAGAACCAAACACATCCAAGACTCCTCTTCCCTTCACAGATACTTTGCATATGATTCTGATGGGTGTTCCGCGATGGAGGAATGCCCTGGTCTGCCTTCGGCTCAAGATGAAAGTTGCGATTTGCTGCGGGAATGTTCAAAATCCATTTTTGATCATGCAACTAGGTTATGCTGAACAGAGGAAACAATTTATGAACGTGCTCTTCGAGCAGAGTCTGACCGCAGTTAACTTAGTTCATGATGACCTAGAAAACGGTCAGAAGCTCGTCGATCTGATATCTTCTGTACATACTGACTCTTTCCAGTTGTCTCCCATGACGGAATAACCACCATCACGACAGATGAAATGTTAATATTGGTATGTTGTGTACGTTGTTTCTATTGGCTTGTCTCACCTAGAATAGGCCACAAAATGGATAGCAGGATTCAATTCTGACTTGAAGCGTGTGGCCAAATTGGCTATCATGGACACCAGATCGGTGTTTGGTTTTGGCCTCAATGATACATCCGCCGCAGACCCAAGTCTCTTAGCGAACAAGTGTGTGGAACTTCTGAGGCGCTTCATGGTCCCACAGTCTACATTACTCCCCATTTCAGTAAGTCTTCTGAGTTGCCTTGGGTAATAAAGTCTGATATACCATGCAGGTCAATGGCTTACTGTGGCTTCTGCGAAACAAGATTGTCAAGTCGCTCGTGTTCTATATCATTTTCCGCCCCAGCTCGACTTCCGGCGCAAGAGTCGTGATTGGCGATGAGGAACCAGCTATCTTCAGAACTGCCCCACTCCTGCCCGTGGAGATGATTGCATATGTCCTCACTATTGTAAGTCGCTTGTTTGCATTGAACTCTCATTCACTTACAACTGTCGCTTTACACTAGTGGTACAGCACCCTCTTGACTCGGCTCAGTGAGTTGGTCAAGGCGATGAAGACCTCCGGGCTGCCCGTCAACATCATGATGTCAATATTTCCTCCTGTCGCTTTTATCTATTCAGAAGCACTAGAGTGCCTGTTGTGGTTGCTTGAACAGACAGATGACCCAGCATACCCAGACTTCCTGCAGGTGCTTACGAACTTTTGTGACATCGAGTGAGTTGCCTGAGTTGAGTTCATTTTGTACTACTGATTAATGGAGATACAGTCAGGATGATGTCTGCAGGATTGTCTGCAGCTGAGCTACTCTGAAGGAGTAATGTTCTATACCTTTGATACCTTGTATTGAGCGATTCGTCTCTATTTTGCATTTTCATCTCAGTTATCGCATTGCAGCATCCACCTCTACACCCAGGGGCAGATCGACCGCATTCAACGATTGGACTCACAAGACACAGTGGGCTCACTTATGCAAACTCTTGGGCGACGACCCCGCAAATATCACATCAATTCCAGACGTACAGAAGCATGTTATAACCTGTTTTATAGGTTACCTTGTCACCCTCCCTCAATCTCAGTTGTCAGACATCCCGCCCGATCTCTGGGATCTAGGACCTGACTCATTCCTGTCAGTCTCAAACGCAAATATTCGAGTTTCCTATGCACAACAACCCAAGCAGCGGCTCTACATCGTTGAGTCGCTGTCGTCAACTCTGGTGCCCTGGAAACTGGTGGTTCCCGATGCTATTACAGCTGTGATGTGCCTCCGGCATGACTGGGGCTCGGATATCACCAAGATTGCCTGTAACCTCCTTGAAAAAGTAATTGCTATAAAGACATTGCAGCCAATCTCAGTTCTGCCTCATGCTCGGCGCCCACTTACAGAACTCCGTACATACTTGCTCGGACACGTCCTCTCCCCCAAGGATCGCAGGCTTCCCTGTTTCAGGCCTGTTTATGCTGACTATATTATGTACGAACAACACCGTCACAAGTTCATGAACCAGCCTCGCGCAAGAGCGGCACTTCTTCACGGTGGGCTCATATGGCGGCTGGCTTTACACAGTCTTGGTTTTGATGTCCTCCCCTCCGTTCTCGACGGCATTTCACGGGAAGCAGTGCCGTTTGGCCTCACGCTGGACATTAATGGCCAGACTTATTTTGACGATGAGCTGTCGGAAGAGGAGGTGGATTTTATGTGTGGGATGTATCATGTGCATACCAGTAAGTTTTTCTTGCTCTCATTCGACAGGCGCTTATGATTTGAATATGTAGATGACGGGAATGTAGAAATAGTCTCTTGGTGGCCTAGACCCCATGCCTGGGCTGCATCGGGACTAAACGTGGGGTTCTGGTCCAGTTGATGTGAATCTTGGTTCCAGTCACGCTTGGACAACATTCGACAGGGCGTTTCGCGAGAGCGACATAAATTTACCAATGATGCTAATGGTCCAATGACCGGTACACAGTGGAAAGGCTCACTCAAGTTCAACCCGGGCACCAGTAAAATGATGAAAAACATCAACGCGGCATGTTGCAGTTTTCTTGCCACCAAAGCAAGTGGTAAGAATCAATTGGTCATTGCTTGTGCATCTCAGATTCTAATGTTGTGCTTAGCTTTTACAGAGAATTAACGCCCTATAGATGAGATTGTAATTGTATATGTTTATGAGCGATTTCCTTTTGCTGTCCCCTTTACACTGCTGTATAGGACTGATATTTAATGTAGATTCGTGTACATAACTCATGTCGTCGTTAAGTTTTCCAATGTGTACAATATGTCACATCTTAGAGATTATCCATGAGTGGGCAGTGATACTGTGAGTGGGCGATAATTCAGCCATGAGCGGGCGATCGATTTTATCTGGAGACAAAACTTAATGATTTATCTTCACATTTAATCATCAGGATCTATTTTGAATTTTAACGCCTGTCTAAGCGGTGGTCCAAACTTCATACATGAGCAGGCATTTAGTCACGTGCGAGAGTTGAAGTTTTTTCGAGTCTTAAATGTGAAGTTTCATTTCAAAGTTTATGCCAGCATTAAAAGTATATTTATATTTCTTATTGTCATTGACGTTTAGATAGTGACAAAATGTTTGCTAATGCTTTGTATTTTTCTTGTCGTGCAAGATCTCATTAACATTTGAAATTTTACATCTGCTTAGATGACAACCAAAATATTAAGTATTATCTTCGCATTTCGCACGACATTCAAAGCTGTCTTAAATATTGCAATCCCCGATGTGCTATGCTGCCTGTCCACAATACGGACAAAAGAAGGTGGATCTTCACGTTGATCAGTTCAGTTTCATTGTGTACTAGTGCCCACAATTCCGAGTCCACCTTCCTTGTGTCGTTATTACTAAGTGCCTCCACGATTACAATTAGTCATTCACTATAAATGTTGAGCATGGCCATTGCTAGATCTTCTTTTCACCATCACCTTCTCGATACGATACTCATAGATGCAATAAAGAATCTGAGCAGCACATAGTAGGCGATTGAATATACAGTATGTCAGGTTTGGGGTCATTATACAAATCATGTTGATCACGTACAGCTACAGACAAAACCATGGCCAAATGCATGCCGTCTAGTGACGATGAACCTGCCCCGAAGCATGTCAAGAATAACGAAAGTGAGCGTGATGAAACATTATCAATATTGTCACTCATTCCTGTGTTTATGACGTAGGGAATTGTTGGGCAATACCATCACCATGGGAAGATGTGAATGCCTGGCGCATTCTGGAACACTTCCTCACTACCAATATCACATCCCCCAAATGGAAGATGCATTTTTATCCTACCTCGGCAATCAACACTCACCGGACGATTGGAAGGACGTCTGAGCAGCATTGTTCTCTGGTGACGGCGATGACACCGTTGCCCTGTCAAATCTTCACGCGCTGATGGCCACAAACATACCCCAAGGTTTATCAGGTACGACGAGCATGGAGAAAGATTCACCTGTGGCTATGTCTGCCTCGAGAAAGGGTATCCGAGGGACTAAGGGCAGTCAGTCGTGTAGGACATCCAATTTCAAAGTGTGTGAATCATTCATCTCTGATATGATATATTTACACTGAATATCATATGTAGCGCTTTATCAATGACGAGGCGGGGGATTCTGAAGACAATGAGGATGAGGATGAGGATGATGAGGGGGAGGGGGAGGTTAGAGATGGCTCCTCTGTGCAATCACACAGTATTACATATTTGCTAGGACCATCGGCCAAACATACATTGGCTGCAGCAATTGATAGCATTTTCAACAAGGATGAAAACACCCCTGCGAAGTCTTCAGAATGACGCCCCCCTTGTAGAGCTGCTTGGTCTCCTGGCACCATCGAAAACAGGATGTATCTTCTTGTTGTTCATAGTATGTTTACTTTTCTATTGCGTAGCACGTCACTCATTGCATGTCAGGAACTGCTACACATTATATCACCGGATGCCTTCGAGATAAAGGATTTCCTGTGATCGTGTCGGCTTGGTTACCTGGTCAGCTGTACGTGGTGTCGGATAGCCCCAGAATGATTGCAGCATCGCTTCCACCCTCTCATAGTCTCTCCGTGAAGGAGTATCTTCGTATCTTGGAGGAAGAACATGAAGCTGTGGAACGTTCAAGCATCAAACTTCCTAGCCCATCATGGGTGAGGATACGACATGGCAAGTACAAGGGCGACATAGGCTATGTCTTCGATCCTGATCAACTAAACCATTTTGTCACGGTCTTGATCCCCCCACGAGAATTCCCCTATGACATGCCTCAGGGGTCGGTAGCGCTCCTCAACCAGTCTCGCCTTCCAAATGACAACACAGTGTCTGACATTCTTCGTGACGGGGACATAGTAGGGTATTCATACAAAGGACAATGCTACTACAGGGGCCTTTTACTCAAAAACTGTCACCGCTATCTCGTAGAACTGGTCGCCTACCCTCACACTGATGAAATCTGACTGTATGTGCAATCCGGGTGGGACAAAGCCTTTTTGAAGAACACTATCGCAGTGTTTTCAATGCAGTTCTTGCACAAAGGTGATTCGGTCAAGGTAATCAAAGGAGAAGTTCGCTCAGAGATCGGTACGGTCGTCTCGACACACCATGCATCTGGTACTGCATGTCTAGAGATCAATTTTGACGGTCATCGACAAGAAATGCATGTTCGACTCCAAGATATAGAGCACGTCTTTTGGGTGGGGGATCCAGTTCAAGTTGTAGTGGGCTCACACTTGGGTTTAGAAGGGCATATCATTCAAGCAACCAGAGACATTTTTGACGTCTGTCAAGAGGTCTCTCTGGAAGTGGTAAGTTTCTGGCATACATCCTGCAAAATGGTGTAACACTCATTGTGTAGGTTCAAGTGTCTAAGCACTACTTAGATTGCTGTCCCCCGAAATACACATATCAATCTCGACCACCCAGAGCCCCTTCAGTGACCTAACCCTGTAAACATGGTCAGCCCACCTTGACATTTCTTCCGAGTGACATGGGCCAGCCCACCATGGGCCCACCTTATCATGGTATGTCATTGTGTTCAAGTGGGCCTGTGTATGCCATGTAACCCATGATTATGAGTAGGCCTACTGCACATATTCATTGAAATGTTGCAGTGGGCCCACATGAGTCTATATGGGCATACATTGTATTAGAGGTGGGCCCATAGTACACTGGAAAGGTATTTCCCCTAGAGTTTCAAGTGGGCCCATGTATTTCAGGTCTGTCTACAGGATCACCAGCACAATACGTGGTGGCGAACAACACAAGTTGTGCTGGCGAATGCAAATAAGATGTGCCACCGCCAGGATCATGCATGTCATCGCCGGCAGGCGAGAATGACATGTCAAATCTGGCGCAATTATCATCATCGCAACTGGCGATGAATTACACTGGCGCCCAATATGATAAATTCATTAAAAATGGCGGGCAGGAATTATTGCTAAAATTAGAATGAGCACAACCACTGGCGATTGGGCATTTTTCAACCAGGCGAACAGTGGTGCGAATCACGACTAGATCACAATTAACAACTGGCAAGTTATTGGAAATGTCACCGTGCATCGGCGATGTTGTCCGGCGGGTGCTCCTGATGCGCTGTCCTGTCATACATGTGGGCCCACGATGTGTCACATCGAAATGGCCGAGCCCACAGGATGTATGTCCATGTAGCGTGGGCCTGCCATCAGCTGATAAGTGGGTTGGGCCCATTTCTCTTCCATGCCATGGAAGGGTGGGCCCGGGCCAGTTCCCTGGTGTGTAGGGCTGGCCGAGCCAATTTCAATATGCCCATGGGTGGGCCCGCCTGTGATGTGACAGATGGGCTGGTCTCAATGGCAATCAACTGGACAGGCGAGCGGGCCCAGGAAATTGCACAGATGATACGGGTGGGCCGGGCCAATACATCATGCTGCTAAAACACGGGCCCGCCGGTTATCTGATACATGAGCTGGGCCCGATCTCAGTCAACGGGATAGGTGGACGGGCCTGGTGGATTGCTCACACACTAGGGGTTGGCCCGGCGGCTGTGCTGTCACTAGTGAGTGGGCCCACTCCATCCCTTCATATGCATGGGCTCATACAGATGCTCCCCTGCATACTGGTGGGCCCCGGCGGTGTATTCTGGTGTCAGGAGTGGGCTGATGCATTCTTGTGGAAACGTGGGTGATCCTTGATGTGTGGGTCATTGTTGCCGACAGTCGTCCAGTCCGGCAATGATTCAAACATGCTGCCTTTCGAGTACTGCCGTACGACCACTGCACATGACAGCAGCTGGGGAGAGAATGATGTTGCGCTCCCTCCATAGAGCTTTAAATCTTTTGCCTGTGACAAATTATCGCCGTAGTCCAGAATTAACTAGATAATCAATGGCAACGGCAACGGCAACGGTACATACCACCCGTCTGGCAATCTCATCCGACAATGCTAACCCCGTCACTGAATCACCCTCTTTCAACTTCATACATCGCTTGATAAGCGATTGAACATCTTTCAAAGTATTGTTGAGGGCAGCGTCTGCTTGTTCAGAAGATGTCATAGGAGTAGATGAAAGATGTTGGTGAGTTGGGGTAATGCTATGCGGAAGGGAAAGAAGAATGACTCTGGGAAATTTTACAAAGGTCGGGATCTATACCAATTTGATGGTTGTGAGTGTTTCCGAGTCCGCATGGCGAATGTAGAACGGCAGTGTGGACCGAGATATAATATAATTATAACGTAATAGAAGATTTTCATTGATCATTGTCCCACGTATGCGGTTGCCACAGTCGGTGGTCCAGATATCAAGGTACTAATCTTGGCAACTCCTTACCTTCTCGGACTTTGTTTTCACACTGACATTCATGTCTCAGAGACAAGTTCGTTTTGCCACTCCAGTCTCTTCGGAGGCTGGCGACTTGTTCTCTCCAGATGCTGGCAACATATGGACCAGCGTCTTTTACAATTCCAATCCCACTCAATGTCATGGTAGTGTATCCACTGATTCCCCAGTAGAGGCACGCCCCGCATTGCAGGAGGACCCCATAGATTGGTGGGGCACATATGTCCCCTTAGAGTCGTGGGTTCCACCCAAACCGGATAGCATTCCGAGATTCCAAGGAATCATCGGATTGGAATCCTATCCAATATATAAATGCAAGTTCACCTTATAAACCCCTATCGGGAATGACTAACATTTCCTTGGCAGTATATAAGTTACGTTCCAAGCTCCCCCATTGTAATGAATATCGGAGTGATGCTTCAGGAAAGAAAGAGAAAAGTAAGTCATTACCCGGATCACTGGCATCGTTGAATCAACCTTGTACCATAGATTACGAGATGTGTTTTAATGGTGACTTCGATGAGGTTACAAGAATGCTGTCCGGTGAGTGTCATTCAAAGCCAAGGGTCGCTGATCTCACACATCAAACCAGACATGTATGTTGTTGAATTGCTTCGGACCCCCAACTTTTTGACAGCTCGACATTCCAAATTGGGTGACATAAATGTGTCACCGCCAAGCCAAACATCGGAAAAAGGTTAGTCAGTCCATTGCATGATAAAACTCAACTAACTCATGTTTAGGATATGCAAGACCGGAAGGTGAGTAACAGCCTGGCGCACACTATAAAACTCATCCATTCTAACCAACCAGAACTTCCGGCACAATTATCGACATTACATGAGGATGTCCAATCAACGCCACTGAAGTATCAACCCTACGATTGCGGATGGGATGATTCCATTTCGAATGGGTCGGTACCACCTGAAGTGTCTTCGCCAACAGATCCATACAACTGCGGATGGGAGGATGCCATTCAAGCTACATCCCCAGAAGCTGTTATACAGTCACAGGAAAGTGAGTAGATCTTTTGCTTTGTGGGATCAAAGGTGACCGATTGGTAGAATCAACAGATACAATATCGGAAGAAGGTGAGCATGAACCTGGTAGGCGAGTTCCACCTCATTCTGACACAACCTCATAGAACATCTGGTCGAAACATTGCACCCAACCAGTGACGAGATAGTCGAGCCTACGATTCAGATGGATGATCCCTACAATTGCAGATGGGATGATCCGGTAATCAAAGAGGTGGCGGCCCTGAATGAGTCCTGGACACAAAATCCTTACGACTGCAGATGGGGGGATATCGTGGATGCTACAGCCCTGCAAGCAACAGAAGAAAGTAAGTTATTCTTTTATGAAGCAACACTGCAGCTGACCGGTTGTTGGGAATAGAGGATAAAATATTGGACATATGTGAGCACCCAACCTACCCACAAGGATTGATCTTACTGACACAACCGCATAGATAATGCGGCCGACTCACCTTGCTCCGAAAGAATCGGACCAGTATTTCCAACAAATGATCCTTATGATGCCAGATGGGATGATCCCATGGACGACTGTAAAGGCGCCCAAACAGCTTCTACGGCAGACTCGTACGATTGCATATGGGACGATACCACAGCCCCAGAAGAGGACATTATGCTTGAAGGTTCCACTGACAATCCATACAACTGCGGGTGGGACCTTTCGATGGATGCCAGGGCCCATTCTCCGGAAATGATGGAGGGGGATGCTGCAAACAATTCTGACCATGGGCGGGCAGATGGCATGGTGCATTCGGATCCTGGCAGGGACAGCACAGATGATCTTTATGATCTCGGATGGGAAGACCCTATGGAGGAAGCAAAGATCAGGCGGCAATCTATAGAGCAGATGATGAGCAAGGAAATGGATGTGATCGACCTAACCATGTCCGAGGGAACGGAAGTTATTGATCTCACTTTGTCTCCAGCCAACTTGGGTATGTCATTTGTCACACTTTTCATTTTTCCTAATGTCTCATAGTTGCAGAGAGGTCCGTGTCTATACCTGGACCTAACACATTCGAAGAAGTGGGAGAGTCCATGCGCCATGCGATGCGATGGCTCAACAGCATAGGACATAGTGATTGTGAGTTTTGTTGATTCCATTCTGATCATGGCTCACTTCCATGTGGGACAGTCGATAGATTTGTTTGCAGCATCGTCGCGCCCGAAACTAGACTTGTGTCTGACCCACGTCCAGCAACCACATTCATGGCCAACAGGCATTTATTTGGTGCATACATGGAGGCAAGAGATCGGGTGACAGACCTTGGTGCAGACATCATAAACATACATTGATTACTAAACATTCACCGTCGGATCATGAACCCACTAGATGCCATGATAACCAGACTGGAGCAGCAGGGGCATCGTATGCAATGACTATATTTCTACATGTAATTTACCATACACAAAATTTATGCAATATATTGCATAACAATGCAATGACAAGCAATATGTTACAATACAAACAATATATGTACAATCTAAGGGATGACTTCCAAGCCCACATCACAAAGTCCATGAGTCCCCACCGGATAGCATTCGCATACGTGAAAGCTATCTCAAGAAACATCCTCCCTGTCACACCTCCACATCAGTCAAGGTTTCACATAATCGTTGTACCAAGAGTTTGGCTTTCGTGAACATTTACCCGCACCGGGTGGTAAAGTCTTGCTCCTGGTCCGTTTCAAGGGTGACCCATTGGTAGCCTCTTCAACAACTTGTTTCCTGCCACACTTGTTACCGGCCTGTGTCACTGTCCCTTTGTCTTGTTGAATTACCACTTGATGTCTTGTCCTTTTTGCGGGAGACCCTTCCAAGAATTCTTTGGCAGTCCTTTTTTGTACTCGGGTGTGCCCTCTGATGATATCAGCCGTATTAACTGTCTTTGCAGGCTGTTCCACCCGTCCCTTTGGTGCATTGGCCGTGAGTTTTGCACTGATCGCAGAAGGCTCATGCTCGGTTCCTTTCCCCCCATGTTTGCGCACAACATGTTGTGGGCATTCTACTGCCCTTGTGATCTTCTTCGACCGGACATCGACTGCACCAGCCTCAACAGGAGATCCAGCAATAACCTTCTTGCATGTTTTCCTAGAACTCACAAACTCTTCCGGTTGCTCAGCATCACTGCTTGAGTTCTTGTCACTGCTGATGGAGTCCTGGCGCTTGCTCTTTCCTTTACTGGCTTTGTGTCGCCTCGGGATCTCCTCCTCTGTGTCATGAAATCCGGCAACAGACTCATTGGTCAGTTGGTCGTCAGATTCGTAGTCAGACGGGTCATTTTCCATACCATTCCGGGTACCACCTGGCAAGTGAGCTCCCGGTCTTGTCTTTGTTTTGGAATTGCACTGTACAGAACCTGTCCGCGCTTTCTTGGTGCTTTGATGGGACCTCAATCGTGCTCCTGTAGACAGCTGCAGTCCAGGCGACCGCTGGTTCCATGACACAGATTTCTGCTTTGACTTTCTGGTAGTTTGTGTCGGTGTCGTTACCCGTGCATCCATGTCGGCTGCTAGCACCATATCTTCCTTATTGTTGTCCCACGAACCAATGAATTCTAACACTGGCTCATCACCTTGCTCCTGCTGGTTGTACCAGAATTGTAGTAGCTGTGTCGCGTGAACTTGCTTTAACTTCGATGGCTCTGCAAGATTGTGCCCGTCTGGAAGACATTCCGCGGGAATAATCTCCGCATATCGAGGTATAACATATTTCCATGGGACGGAAATTTTTGGATCTCCACAACATTTCCCTTGCAATAATCAGATCTCAGTACAATGGGCAGGCTGGCATCGACCCACTATAATGCCAAGTCAAAAATGCCCGGATGACTGCTTTCTTGGTTTCTAGATCCATGGCATCGCATGGAGGGAGCACAGGATATCCGTCATCGCCGACCTCAAGAACATAGGTCTTATCCTGACGACCTTTCTTCCGAGTAACAACTCCATCCCCATCCAAGTTACCGTCTGATTTTTGTTAGTCTGCATCCTCCGGAAGCCAATTGACGGTCCTTACCAAATGCACTCTCGGCATAAGAATCCCATTCCGGTAAAATGGTATCCCATTTATGGGTCTTCATGAAGGAGTCTGCACTGCCATATTCATTGTTATAGTCGTGACTGTTGCAAATGTGAGAAGCAATACATCACAACAATCGGATCGCTCACCCAGCGATATGAATCTTGCCCTCCTCATTTTTCCAAGCAGATACGACAAAGACCCTCATTCCCGCATGGTTCCACATCTCGGTTGCAAAATGATGGATCATATCATTGCCTTTCTTCCGGGCAATGTCGGCCTTGACATCATCTGGAATGCCTTGATGGTTCCATAATTCAGCTGTCTCTTTCGCTTCTTGTAGCTCATCCAAGGACAAGGATGCAATAAGCTGGTTGAGCTGCTTGGTATAGTGGTTGATCATTTCTTTCATACCAGGCTTAGCTCCAGTCTCGTCCTGAATTTTTTCCAACAGTTCCTTCTTCCAGAGTGTATCCATGACGCTTCTTTCGGTCTATTTCTGCCCCATTTTGATAGGGGGTTTCGATGGTTTCCTCTTTGTCCCTTGGGATCGAAACCATGCCTCGTATGCCTGCATGATGTTTCAGTCGGTTTGGTGGTGAGAAAGACAAGAGACCCACTACTTTTTGATCCTTTAGTAGTCTTATGGACATCACTGGTGCCTTTGTCCGAGCCTTGGTTGCAGCTGCTTTAGAGACCATCTTGCGTTCCAATGGCTCAGCTGCATCCCATTGCTCAATGTAAGACTTTAGGATTGCAACCTCCTCCTGATTTAATGGGGGCTGCTTGCTGGAATCAGATTCAGAGGCGGAGTCATGGTCTGACATTATGGGCTGAGGAAGATATCGATAGGATATGGTGGTAGTTTGTGTCTGTGTGAGATAGGGCTTTTGTGTAAAATATTTGCAGCAAGGAAGTTATTTGCCCTTCCTTCATTTCGGCTATTAAGCGAGGAGAGATTGCTATTATTGTAGTTCTACTGTGTCTTATCCAGTCAACTTCATACCAAGTCTATGGGCAAATCAAGGGTAAGGGTATTGGCCCCACCAAGAACAGTTCAGCTGGTCGAATGGAAAGTAAAAGACACCTCTCGGGGCCGGAAAGGCAAATGGTGTCTGGTCAAACGTCCCCAGCCAAGTCAGTCTGCCCAATCATCCCCAGCAAAGTCTCCCGCAAAACAGAGCTTGAATATGGCAAACACTCAATTTACATGCGACTTTAATTCCCATCATACCGATTGGAGTCAGGGTGATCATGGCCCTATCGGTTCGCTGAATGTTTGGTTAGGGAGAAAAAAGACTAAGGTTTGCATCTTTCTCATTATCCGTTCAAGACTGACCAGGCTCCCAGAGCCCAAACGATTATCTCCATGAATGGATATCTCAGAAGGACGATTACCTTCACCTCCTCCTAGAACAGGAGGCGCCACCCACAAAAAAGTGCTGCTCGTTATGCAGTGCAACTTTGGTGGTGTATCGGTGTCACAACTGCCTCGGCGACCCTATGTTTTGCGCCAAATGCTGCCGACATGAGCACAGGTGATTGCCATTTCACAAGATAAGCAAATGGAATGGGAGATTTTTTGAAGAGACATCATTAACCAAGATCGACATGGAAATTTATTTGGGGCATGGTGGGCTGCCTTGTCTGGTTCTGGAAGATGTCTATGACTGGGAGGACGTAGACGAGCCAGTGTACGAGCCCTCCGATGGCTCCTCAGCCATACCGGACCTGCCTTTCCTGCACGGAAAGGAATGCACAACCGTGGTTGACAGGTCCGGCGTCCATTCACTCATGATCGGGTATTGTAAATGCCCGAATGCATGTACCCTGGACAAGCAATTGTTTGCGATGGGAATGTTTCCGGCATCTTTCAGTCGCCCAAAGTCAGCATTCACGTTTTCAGTACTGGATGGCTTTCTGCTAGATAACTTGGAATGTGGAACATCAGCCATTAATTACTACAGCAAATTAAGGAGAAAAACATCCAGCATATTTCCCCACTTGGTCCCGGTATGTCCGACGTACTGCCAGGTCATCCGTCCATCAACTAACATCCGAACAGGACTGGTACAGAGAATTGATGCGAGTGGGACGGCAATGGCGTCAACTAAAGCTTCTCAAATGGAATGGATTAGCTCATGAGAAGAGACAGCCAGCATCTAGTGAACTTGCTCTTTTCTGCCCGGCGTGTCCACAACCCAGAATAAATGTGCCACAGCTGGATGAAAGAGACAGAAACGATCCGGAATGGTTATATGCTAGATCATTGGTCATGGATGGTAATTTTAAAGCTGAACATTTGCACCCTACTCGTCCGGAAGATGAAGTTTGGCTGACCGATGGCATGTGCTTCATGGTGACCAGAGACGAATACAAGGCACATCTCGCCGGTGCCAAAGACCATGTTCAAATGTCGGAATGCAATAATCATCGGGCTGTTAATCAGGTGAATGCTTCCTGACACAAATTGGAAGCTACAGGAATAGGCAGTTGCACATGCGCTCGACATGGCTGTTTTGTACCCCATTCCATTGTTGATTTCCAAAAAGGCGAAAGGTACATTCCCGAAAGTCATTGACACTATCGTCCTTGACATCATTAATTAGACAAATAAATATGGACTACGCTCTTTGTCATGCTTTGAGTCATCACACCAAAGGACTAACTCGAGCCCTGACATTCTATGACATCAATTGCCAGTATAACAAGTATTTCCGGCATAGGGTAAATGAAAGCTTACACTTGAGCATCCCTGCCGGTATGGAGATCATACTGGGAATAGGACTGTGGCATGTCCACGGCCATCAGGACAAGTGCTATGTTAGGTATGCATCAACCTTTATCACTGGAGCAGCTAGAATAGATGGGGAGATTATGAAGACATTATGGGCGCCCCTAAATGTCATCTCTCCTTCTGCGAGAGGCATGTCCACCCTGCATCGACAAGAGTGTCTTGACTACCAAATGAATGACTCAAATTTTATGAAAATGATCAAAATGAGTTCGGACTCCTATCCTTTGCTCCATAATTGTCACTCACAATCTCCAGGTGGTTTTCTATATTGGAAATATCGAGAGGCTGTCAAGGGAGTTTCCGAAAGCATGGCAGCATTTCAGAAGCTCAATGATGCTGCTGATCCAATCGTAGTGAAAAAATGGGAAGAACAGGATCAACAAGCACAGATGCGGCGAATAGCGGATCCTTCGGCAATGGATGTATTTGACGTGCAGCTCCAAAAGGGTGTGTCACGCCGAACATGCTTCCAAACTACATAACCAATCAGATGTTGACAGCACCAACACGGAAACAACAAGAGCTGGCCTTGCTGTCTCGGGTTGGTCGTGGAGTAGCAAACGCGCAACGGGGTGCTGCCACATGGATCGCATCCAGCATCACAATTGAAGAGCTGCAGATATCTTTGTTGATGGACATAAGGAGGTTGGGAAAACATCCCACTGAAACGCAACACTTGGAGATTGGGAGACGCTGGACAAAGCTGCAGAATCAGATAGATGAATTTACCATTGCTGCAGTCACTCATCTCGGGGAGGACTTTGATCTGGATGACAACATCCAAGATATGGAGGTCGATTTCATAGATCATTCAGAGCAAGAAGGAGACGGTGATACTGACGGTGAACTCAATCCTCATGAAGATCCGCGATGCAATGTCTTCTGTCCCAAAAATGTCCTATTACCTCTCCCATCTAATATCAGCATACAAAGATGTACTAAGCTAGGGGTCGTCCACCTTATTGGTCAGGAAATTGCACTTTGGGAAGGGCAGGCTAATGACGCCCTGCAAGCAATCAGAGTGCTTCTAGCGGACAAGGCGGTGCTCTTCCGCACCACTGTCCGTCCGGCAAAATCTCAGGTTAAGGTGACTAGAGCATGGATGCAGGTACATTCTGTGGAAAGGGTAATCAGACTACACGCAATGATCTATGCCAAATGCCGAGCCCAACTTGGCCATCTACAAGCTCACACTCTACTAAAGAAATATCTTCGGATGGAGAAATGTCATCTCAAAGCAACTGCTGCTGTTGCTGATCCGAATGCCCGGGGACAAAGAAACTCTACACTTCCGTGGTTCTGGTCTCTCAATGTACAAGGTGATTCGGTTAGCAACAATTGGATGAATGAATGTGCGTCACCATCCAGTGATCATGCTGACCATACCATGACCGAAATTAGTCTATAGGGTCCACTGGCTTCGCACCAAGGCTTTGCGCGACCGATGGTCGGAAGAACAACTGCTCATTGAACATGAAATGGGTTAGACCTTACAGTTTTTTCTTCATAAGGCAACAATGTGGCTGTCATGGATCACCTACAACGGCGATCCACTGCCAGAAGGACACAAATGTTACACAATTCGGCAGGCTCACATGTACCACGAATTGGTCAAACATGCACGTACAAGCTTTCTCAAGGCAAATCCGATGTTCAAGACCATTGTTTAATTGCCGAAAGTGTGGTGCATTTTGTGGATCAGAGTAATAGTTATTAAATGGTCCACATATTCTTCTTTTATTTTGCATTCAATGAAGATTTCCGGGAATAGTAACCACATTACCGGATTTGTGTTTTGAAGCTCCGACAATACATATAAACAAGCTGTTCAGGATTGATTTCATGTAACATGTCCGACCAAACTCGAGCACTGTATGAGGCTGTCACCGGCTCATTCTCAATCTGGGATGCAGCCCATATATTTGAATATGCCACCTCCAGATTCACTGCCATTCATCTCGCGCAGTTGGCAGAGCCCAACCCATCAAGTTCCTATAAGTACTCGTTTGCTCAACACCTCGTCTGGGAGGTGGAGGTAAGACCATTGTGAATAATCGCACTTACATGCTGATGCGGAGTTACAGCATTTTGTTATCCCTTTTGTGAGCATGTGCGCAGTGATGAACATCAATACAAGCATGCCTGTCTATTTAAGTCATGTTCTCATACACATCACAACCTTCCAGACAGAACACGACAACCGGAGGACACTCTTTGAGAGATTCCGGAACTGTCCCCATGATGAAAGTGGAGATGCGGCATGCCAATACCGGGTGGTGCCGCGCTACCATCACTGCTGGTGGACAACCGCATTCCACTTCCAGAATATACAAATGCCTCTCCAGTTCTCGGTAGCTGAGGTGAAAGCGCTAGCAGCAGCTCACTTCAAACAGTGGGCGAGTGATTTTTAGTCTTGTCCAAATTCTGATTTTATTGACACAATCAGCCTGCATTAGGTTTGCTGATACCGGAACTGATTACCCACCCCCGGAAAGATGACCCACTCCTTCAACAACTTCATGCTCTCCGGACTGAAGTCGCCCGTCTTGGTCTCGACCTCGGTCAAATGCTTGTTAGTAAACTGGAAGCCACGGGAGCGGCAGTCGATGCGATGAACTGACTCGAGCACCCCCTAGATGAGGTCTATGACGCTATGGCTGCCTCTCATGCGGCGGTGGAAGTCTTGGCGGAAGACTATAACAATGGCCGGATTGGAACATCTCCCTGCGGAGATCCATTCCCTGAAATGCCTCCCTTTATGCGTAGATGAGGGCAGCCTTGATATAAAATAGTTAGGGAAACGTATGCATATGTTTTTTTTTACGAGTTCATCTGGTTGTATGTCAATGTTACATGAGATATGTCCAGTAGCTATCAATGTATTACAATTCAATGACACAAACCATTGCTGGATACTATATCGTTTTATAGATTACATTTATACTGTTGCTGCCGCTGGGTTTGTTACATAATTAGGATGAAGGCTGCTCGGCAAATGTTCACTTAAGATGCAAGCCATGCTCACACGCCATATCCTTTGCTTCCATCATGATATCCCATGAGTATTGGGCGACATACCATGAAAAACTTGCGGCCCTGGATCTTGACACTCACCCGACATCGTTTATTCCACGGGATTGGGCTCTTAATGCTGTCGACATAGCTAGTGAATGAGTGGAGCAGCAGTTTGCTGCGCATGTCGCAGGGAGACCGCTTGTTCCTGCGCCTCAAGAACTTGATCTGGAAACCATCCTAGCTTGTGGACACCTTGCTTTCGTCCTTGCGGAGGCATATCAGCATCCAAGTGAGTCCGGCAGTGTATGAATATAATCTTACCCTGATGTGTGAAGTCCAACTGGATATCGACGTTATTCGGTACAACGAGGCCTTGACGGAATGGGAATCAGGACTCAATGATGCTCGTGAAAAAGCCTTGTTGGCAAAGTTCCCTCCCGTGGAACCCATGTTGTTGGATCACCCATTGGTGGTGATTGACTCTGGCTACCGAATCATCTTATGGTATCTGCCGGGTGCGCTAAACTGGTCGCTGCAGGTGCACGGATAATCACAAAAATATTCGATAATACTGATAGGAAGCAAACAAGCGAGATATGTTCATTGCCACAGTCGATATGGGCAACCTGTTGCAAAACAGCATTACTGCTGGAAAGATGTCAACCGGAAGGACAACGAAATGGAGGACAAGCTCTTCAAACTTTCACGTGGCAAGGGAACCAGGTCTAATTCCCAGGTGCATCAATATTTCACCTTGCTGGTTTCAACAGGGACACGAGGTGAGACCAAACTTCCCAAAATCATTTTTTGCTAAATAAAGGCAGTGTCAAGGCCCACCACCACAGAACCCGTCGGAAGGGTTTGTACCGGAAGTCTCTGCCACTCTAAAGGGCGATAGCGGCCTCTCTTCAATTATAGATATGCAGCGTCTGGCCCTCCTATCTTCGGCTGCCCTCAGGGTCATGCACCCACAGCTTTACCGGGCATCAATGTCCACTCATGTAAAACTCGGGCATTGGGTGGCAGCGCAAGGTCAAGATCAGATGTACCGATGTCTCCAGCATTGGGCATCAGTATATTCCAGCGCCGCAATTGTTTGCAATGGGCAATCACCCAGTCATTGGGATCCCAAATGCCCGCCAGAGGGATTTGACATTCTCACATGCATAGGAAGCTATGATCATGCCGTGATGAATTTAACAAACTTGAGGATTGATCTGGTTTATAATCCGGGAGTCATGGTAAGTTATTCTGGCCATCTTGTGAGGCACGGTGTCCGAGTTGGCGAGGGTGATAGGATTGTGTGGGCTTGGTTTATGCAGGACAGCGTGCATAACTATGCTGGAACACCACAGACAGAGTTTGCAAAATACAACCTGGCCGACTTCACCACATACCACCTAGCTAGATATAATCATGCTGATTTCATTTGGTACCGGACATAATCGTGTCGGTAGTTCAAACATAGCTTCCATACACTCACTTGCATAGTTGTTCTTTAAAATACTACGTGTTACCTGCTTTGGCTTGCCATACAAGTCCCACATCAGTCAGATTGATAGGTTTGATATTAAAGCCTTCTGCCATCGTGTCTGAGGCCGATGTTTCCGAGTCTTGGCCAGGACTTCAAAACACTTTAGACCTTCCATCCTTTTCCGACGGAAAATGGCCATCTGATATTATGATTATCCGGTGTTGCATTGCCACACCCCCAACGGTTAATCATTCCATATAGGAAAATGCATGCTGCAGCTTGGGATTGACCCAGAAATTAATGTGACCCGGATGTGTCCTTGGAGCAATCGTACAATCTATGCATTTGCCGCTTAACTATCAATACAATTATGTTAATATAATATCCACTTCCACCATCGCCAAGAATGAGACTCATTTATGTGGCTTGAGCATGGATTACTATCATATCGTCCAGTTGCTCCATGATCCGGCGGTGGACGTTCAGTAAATGGTGAACAGCTGCAATGTCCTCATATAGTTCCGTTACTTTGTCTATTGCACCTCCATATTCCTTTGTATCACCTCGGATTGCCACTGGTGTCGATGCTGGCATGGGATCACAGACACCCTCGGTAGTTGGAATCATATAATCAATGGAAGAATGAACTGCGTAATGTGTCAAAATTAGCCAATGTCGAATAGGGTGACTTACTATCTTGATCCTGAATACTGCGTAGTTGTCGGATGGCGCATCGCGTAAAATTTTGCGCATGCTGGAATACATTACATTCATTTCCTGCAGTTGAGCCGGGTGCACCTACAAAATATGAGGAGTCAATACATCTATGTAAGGAATAACGCACCTGCTGGCACACCGGAAGACACTATGTCAATCATATCCTCATCACCTGTCAGTGTTGGTTCCAACTCTGGGTCATCCCATCTGCAGTCATACGGATCTTTGCCCATGGATTCGTCATTGTGAAGCACATCCCCACAGCGCGAAGCTGGGGGTAGTGGGTTGGTATCCATAGGATCACCCCATCCGCAGTCATACTCATCTTCCCCCGACTCACCCAAGGACATGATATCCTTATCATCTGTAGGATTATCCCAACCACAATCATAGGCATCCGCGGCCGACTCACTGAATTCCATGATGAGTTCATGGTCCATAGGATCATCCCATCCGCAATCATATTGATTGTGCCAATTGTGCCCTGACTCACCCACCAGCGTGATGCCTGAATCAGGCATCGGATTGTCCCATCCACAGTCATAGGCATTTGCCGCCGATTCACTTGAATCCGCGGTGCCTAGATCATGGATAGGATGACCCAATCGGCAGGTGTTTGGATCTTCCGACAACTCCCCCAAACCGGGCTCTTCCCATCCACAATCATAGGGATCATGGTCAGTTTCGTCGGTGGTGCATTTCGGTGGCAAAACTCTGGTGGCAACATGCCTTGCTTCAATGTCAGTAGTTTGAGCAACAGCAATGCCCGAGGTTCACATGGATACGATGCAATACATGTCTTTGGACCGTTTGTTAGAAACAAAAGGAAGATCGAAGGTAAACAGGGAACTCACCGGACAGCATGTTTGTCACTTTGTCAAAGTGGCCATTGAAGCACAGTTGGTATACTAAGTTATATATTCCAGTTAGTAAAACAAAAGGGTCTGGACATCAGCTCACCTTTCTCTCTCTTTGTGAGAGGATCGTCTGTCTCTTCATGATCGGTGAGACATTTGTTGTCGAAATTGTATTCTGTTGTTGGCCAGTTGTTAGTATCCCAGTCTAGAGCTTGCCATGCTTACTTTTGAAGCTCGGATAGTCCTCCAATCCAACTACTCCTTTGAACTTTGATTTTCTCAACTTGGGAGGAGTCCATAACTCCAATGGCACATAAGCACCCCACCAGGTGATGGGATCGACGTCCAGAGCACCATGTGGCGCTGCCGGACTCTCGTCGATATTGCCGCCGTGTTTGAACAAAGAGGTGTTATTGCCAGAGTAGGCCCATTCAGGAGTAACAAATCTAACTTTCCTGATAGTCATGATGTTTTGGTTTGGAAAGAAAGTCGAGGAGGATAGAAATACAATCCGATGAGTGGAACCCTGTGGCAATAGGACAATGGTGGATGAGGTCAAAATATTACGTCACACAATACTTGCTTATCCACATTGCATCACACTCGGAAAGAGCCACAACCGACATGTCGATATAAATCCCAACGTGTGTGTAAATTTTTCAAAGTCATCTTTCTGTCCCTTCCGTGTAACATCTTACCCGTTACCCTGCGAGACATTTCTTTCAATATTGACAATGACACCTGCGGACGCAGCAAACGAGGCTCTAAATGAAACATTGGCGGCCATACAATTGCTACTCAAGTGTTGCATGATGTTGCAACAAGACGATCCAGATGCCTTGAAAATATTGGATGAGATCGCCAGATGTGTGGTGAGTGTTGTTTTCTTGCCCGCCCTACCATATGGCATTACTATTATTGATATTAATGCGTTCGGCGCAGGCCAAAGACTTGAAGCTTTACAGAGGAATTGCTACTTCATTCTCCCCGCAGTTACTGTCATGCGCTGCCGTTGTGCAGGATTGCTCAAAGGGCGGGGTCTTTGTGACTTTACCAGACTGGATGTCCGTTACTGACAAGGATCTGAGAATCAAGGGTCACCCGCGGTTTAACAAGATGGCGCTTTACCGCCCGTGCCCTTCTGTTGAGATTCCTGTCTTTGTGGGAACTGATGCTCGTGTATCACGTTCTGGAACTTCAGCAGCTGTCTCATTCACAATGCAACCCATCGTTGCTCCATCGACCCCGGCTCCACCTCCCGAAGACTTCGGTAACCATGCTGCACCGGCAACAGAACTTTCACCTTTGTCGCCGTCACCGATCTCGGAGCCATTGGAACCCCTGGCCCCAATTATTTCAGCACCGATCCTGCTTAAATACAATCTCTTTGTGCTGGGCACGAAGAAAAACGCGGTGCAGGTGATGGAAAAGGTGGGCAACAGCAGGAAGAGACATGCGGAGGATGACGACCCGGAAGAGGTGAAATCGGTGGATATGACACATTCGGATCCTCAGTCACGGAAGTCTGTGCCAAAGAGAAACAGGTTGATGTCCAGTGATGAAGAAAATGTGCAGACAAAACCTGGATTTGTGACGAAGGTAAGGCTCACCTGTTTAGCTGAGATATAGCTGATCCGCCAGATCATTGGATCATCGAAGATAGCACCATCGCCGCTCATCATCGAAGAGCATCCGGCGCCGGCACGTTCGAATTGCTCTGAAGGAACTGATGATAGAGGTTTCTGGGATGCGGAAAACAGGGTAAGTTATTTTCATCATGCTTACTTCCCATTCTAACTCTGATGTTGTCAGCCTGTTGAATGGGGTCGGGACTCTGCTATCGCCACGGCTGTGGAGGTAAGCCGGTTTTTGTGTGCCGGAACAAATTGATACTAACCAATTTATAAGTATTCTGTTCGTCATCACACGCAGAAATGCGACAAGTGCAACAAATTGGACGTGGCCTGTCTTGTCCTCTTGGACAAAAAGTTCGGATGCATTCGACTTGACTGTGCTAATTGTGATGAGATGAAGATCACATGTGCGATCAACGGCATTGGTGTCCAGGAGAGAATGCAGGCCAAGGCCAAAGCCAAAGCCAAAGCGGGAGAAGATAGCTCCAACCCTGTCAGACGCTCCAAGTCGCGTGTCCCCAAGTCCCGAGTTGTCAACAAGACTCTGGTGAATACCAGGTCCCGCAAGATGCCTATACAACCTGCTAGTTCCTCCTCGCCAGATCAGCATAACATCATTGAACAAGGAGGTGAGTGTTTCCGTTCCACCGCTGGTACTTGAACTGAAATCCCTTTAGACTCCGCCCCACATGATCAGGTTGTGTCCACGGATGTAACACCGGCTCGCACAGAGGTTGAACCAATGCGAACGATCGGTTTATCTGTGCCAATCGTTGAAGCGGCATGGGCAGTCGATCCTGCGGATCCCAAACCAACTGCAAGGGACATCCTGCACAGTATCCAGGACCTCGGAAGGCGGCTTGATCTTCTTGCCACCAATGAAAGGGTTGATCAGCTGGATGCGAGACTCGGATCGGTAGAAGATATCTTTGGCCAACGGTTGAATGCTCTTGAGCAACATCTGAATTCCTCGGATGCGGAACGGAGAGCGACATCATCATCCATTGGACATCTTACCATTGCTCTCCAGGACCACAAAGAGGATCTGACTGCACATAGCCCTTGTGTCAACACCACTGCATATGCCCCTCCTCACCACGCCAATGCACCCCTCCCGGTGTGGCTAGCTCACAGTGATGAAGACCCATGCATCTCAGCTATCGGCTGACAGTGGACGCATGCATGGGATGCGTCAGTTATGACGAATGTCCAAGGCCAGGTTGGAACCTCAGCATCTGTTTTGCAAATTGAAACTCTGGACTCTGTAGTCCCGGCAGCGGATGTATCTACTGAGCTTTCTAGCGACCCGTCAACAATATCCGATGATTAGATACCTATTATCGGATCCTGATGGACATTGATGATATGTTTACTTGGTCTTTCTTACATACAATTGGTGCTCATACACACTTAGATAGGATACTCTATTGAACAGTGCGCAAGATTCATTCTAGCCTGGGCCAGGATGATCTGAATTCATGATTTGGTCAATGTTCCCAAATTGACTTGTCCGAGTGTGGGAAATAGTATTCGGCGGGCAGTGGACTGCATTATTTCGGATGTAATTCTGATGCGAATTTGTTACCAGATGTCCTTGACATGATCTCACAACATGTGTCTATCCGAGTCTCTAATGTGGTCCTTAAAATATATTTCGTGAACCACAAAGAACTAATTGGGCCCAACTGCAAGCATTTCCGATATCAAATCCATGTTGTCCACAGGTAACTCCCTGGGCCCAACCGTATCTGCAATTGGTTGGTATCCACCCATGCAGAAAATAACCAACTGTACTGAAGCCAAAGTCCTTCCGAGATCGCATGACATATTGATATATAACAAGCTGGCCCTCCTGACTCAACAATCAAATTTTCATTTGCTGTCACCCTTTCTCAGATCACTGCTGGACCAAGCCCAATTGGCTGAGCCTTCCGATATGAAAATGCATGCTGTCTTAACCCTAAAAATCTTGTTTGCCCTCCCAACATCTGCTGGGCCCTGCCGCCAACCTGTCCAACATGATATGCTGGGCCAAAATCAAAACTAGCCGGCCCTTCCAATATTAACTGCGGGCTCATCCGAGATCATATGCATATTGTCCGGACAAAAAACTAGCCACCATTTTTGATCTGGTATATCACGATCATCTCACTCAAACTGGCCAGATGTCTTGTGAGCCATAATTTAGTGAGATACAATGGTATCTGCTTACCTAACTTGCTTTCTTCCTTGTAACTTTGGGAAAGCGGAGAGAAATGCAGACCCGCCTATGCATAAAACATCTGTATGCATCCGAAATAATGTGGTTGATTTCGGTACCAGTAGGCATTGCTTTCGCTTCATTCGAGGCTACACAGTTCTGGTATCAGAAGTGAGTTGAGGCTTGTCGTGTAGCTGAAGCAAGTAACGCGTTACCGGTAGACCTGGTATGACCAAAATTCGGAAGTTCATTCCAGTTCAATGGTAAGCGGACAGACATCCAAGCGTATAAATTCATCCAGCAAATATCGGATAAATGTGTGACGCATGATTTTATTAAGCAATTGACACAAACTATATCTACATCTTGTAGGAGTTCGGTAGCGATGCGAAAGTACCACAGCATGCGCAGTTGCAATGAAGGAACACTTTACCGGTAGGATCCAAATCTCTAATTGTCGCTCAAGTGTTGGATGCATGGTGCATTGTATACGGTTTGCTAGTAGCACATTCAGATTAGTTTATCCAGGCATTGCCAACATGCATGGATTCATCCGGCAAATATAAGATTAATGCCAATGGTTATGATTTTACCAATGCCATCGGCACAAACTAGCACATAGGAAGTTTCTCCATGAGGAACGATAGCATTTGATGTTCGGAGGAAGGACCTGGCGGACATGGAGGAGGCAAGCACTTGATGACGGAGCACCATGTGATACAAGCCGCAGACATTAGACAAGGGAGTTCAGAATGATCAAGGCAAAGACGCAATGCCCGGAACGGGGCATGATGCAGACATATGTTTTGAGAGGCAGTTTATCCAATCCACGGTCTCAAAGTCTCACCTCTGGAAATAGAGAAAATGAGCACAAGAATTGTAATTGCAACGACGAAGATGGTGGATGCAGGGCGGCGCACAATCCAGTTAACTCAAGACCAACATCAGCTGTATTGTTGAATAGTTCGCCGGTGATACATTCCAATCAGTATATCCAGGCGTTGGTGGACTCATTATGACATAGAACAATTGTGGAACCACTCATGGATACACTACTGTCACTCCCGATCCACATTTTCCCATCCACAAGCCCAAAGTTCTCAAAAATACCACAAACCGGATTGATATAAATCGTGACTTGTCGGCATTTTCCGAACTCACCTTTCCATACCTGCCCATATTCAATTGCCATATTCACTACCTTGTTTTTTTGTGAAAAGAAATCATGACCATACCTCCGGAAGCGGCTAATGAGGCCTTGAACGTCACGCTGACCTTTGTGCAATTGCTCATGAAGCGATGCATCGAGGTGAAGAAGGACGACCCAGAGGCCTTAAGGCTATCCGATGAGATTGCCAAGCGCGTGGTGAGTATCTCTAATGTTCCCCTTGAAATTCTGCCGATTGAAGACATGTAACACAGGCCAAAGACTTAAAACTCTATGGTGGGAATGCCACATCATTCTCCCCACAGCTACTCTCTTTTGCTGCGGTGATAAGACAGCACTCAAGGGGCGGCACCTTTGAGAGTGTCCCCAACTGGACCTCTGTTATCGACGACGATCCACGGATCAAGAGCCACCTGCGATTCCAGAAGACCGTCCATTATCGCCAACCCTCTGCGGATGTTCCTGCAATCGCGACATTGACTGCAATTTCCACTGCTGTCCCAACAACAATGACCCTCATTGTCCCGCCGTTGACACCCTCAGCTCTACCACGTGTGCTATCTCACATGGAATCGGATCTCCTCTCCAAGCTGGTAGTGGAACCGAAACTATCTTTGCGTCGAGCGCGCAAGAATCCACCTGTTCTCAGACATTTTCCAGCAGGTCCACTGGCAAGATTCCACCACCTGTACGGGACCGCCTTTATGAGAAAACCGGAGAATGCTGTCTTGCAGGTGAGCAATAGCAAGAAGTGGAAGGCGGAAGACGAAGATAGGGATGAGGCCACTGCAGTTGCCAAGGCCAAGTTACCTTCCCCATCCGAAGAGCCTGCGAAAAAAAGGAAGAAGTTAATATCAAATGTCCAAAAAGGGCCAACCGGAACCATCTTGGTGAAAACAAAGGTATGTCTGTTAATCTTTGTTCATATATCAAAATGCTTACTGCTCCAGGGATTACCTGTCACCACTGACCAGGATATTCTGCTAGTGAACAAGAAGGATTTCCGGGACACAGCAACTCGGGTATGTGGTTCATGATTTGCATAGCGCTGATGCTGACCCATTTCCAAGCCTGCAGAGTGGGGCTCCGATTCTCATATCGCTACTCCGCGGCAGGTAAGTCGTTTTGTGCATCGATACCAAGACAAGCTAATGAAGTTGAAGCATTCCGTTCATTACCATCCCCGGCAGTGCGACAAGTGCACGAAATTGAACATGCCTTGTGTTGTCCTCCCTGACAAAAAATTTGGATACACCTGCCTGGCATGCGCAAATTGCGATAGTATGAAGATCGCGTGTGCAATCGACGGTGTTGGTGTCCGGCAGAGGTTGCAAGGGAAGTCAGCGAAAGCATCTTCCAACCCTGCCAAATACCCCAGGACTACCAAGTCCGCGCCATGTCCTCTCCCTGAACAGAACATCATTGAACATAAAGGTTCGTTTTCCTATCAACCCGGAAGGCCTCGAGCTGATGTAGATTCCACAGAGGCAGAGAAAAAGCCCATGGACATCCTTCCCGGTCAGATGCAAATGCACCTGGAACACCGGCAATCACCTGCACCCACCAGCTCGCTCGAATCCGAGCCCACCCCAAGATATATCCTCCAGAGCATCCAGGACCTCAGTAGGAGATTGGATCTCCTTGCTACCAATGAGCGGGTGGACAGGCTGGAGGCAAGAGCGGGTTTGGTGGAGACTAACCTACTTAAACTGTTGAATGAGTTGGAGGAACGGTTCAACGCATCCAATGCTCGTCAGCAATCCATGGCATCCCTCGCATAGATAGAAATTTTCTCAATGACTTCATAGACTAACCAGCTACATACTGTGCTATTATACTATTGTATGTTCCCTGTCTCATTCTGTTGTCGCTGGTCAACCTGGTGCTGCATTTTGATCCGAAAATAATTGGTTGAATCTACGTACAATGTGTAGATATGCTGCTGTTGTTATTTCCTACTTGGTTCTTCATAGTTATATAAAATTTGCTTCATATCGATCCGAGGTAGTTAAGCATGTTCCGGCCCAACAATCGCCAAGCCCTCGCGAGACCCAGATGCAATACATACTTGCTTGGCTAAATCATAAATCATTACTAACTAGGCGCATCCGTTAATATTTCCGAGCCTAAATCTATATACATTACGCTGAATGATGACTTTTTGGGCCAGTCATACCCAATGCATGTGTCATGGGCTCAAAACAACAAGCTGGGCCTTTCCGTTACCCTTGCCACGATACGATATGGACGGGATCAAAAGTTATCCAGCTTCACCCTTCCAGAAGTGTGTCCTAGATTAGATACCAGTTGGACCGATCCGCACACTGAATTTGTATGTACTGGGCCCAGAAAGACCGGTTAGGCCCTTCCAGATACTTTTGCACTGGGATAAAAACTTACTATGTCAGCCGAATTTTGCACTGAATTTGCATGTGCCTGGCCCAGAACAACTGTTGAGCCCTTCCAGATACTTCTGCATTGGGCCGATCCGCATGCTGATTGCGTATGTACTGGCCCGAAAACTGAGTCAATGGGTGTTACTAGCTGGGGCGATCTGCATACTGGTCAGTTGGGCCTTTCCGGATATGTACTGGGCTGATCCGCGCACTGAATTGGTATGCACTTAGCCGAGAATGACCAGCTGGGCTCTTCCGGATATTTCTGCACTGGGCCGGTCCGCATGTCATGTGCTGGGTCAGCCCGGGACTTCCTAATACTTGTGCACTCGGCCGAAGCATCACCAGCTGGGCCAATCCACATATTAAATGCAGTTGCTGGGCAGTTGGGCCCTTCCGGATATTTGCATACTGGGCCGATCCGTGCACTGACTTGTATGTGTTGGGCCAGTTAGGCCCTTCCGGATACTTCAATATTTCAATGCCAGGCCTATCCACATACTGAATCGGTATCTACTGGGCCCAAATATAACTGGTTGGCCCATCCGCCAACCCTTCCCAGTATTGTGATGGGCCCAGCAATGACCTGTCGGCCCGTGCATGCCCTCTTCCGATACTGTCAATAACCAGCTGTGCCCTTCCGCCGGCCATCGCATTGTTATATCTGAGCTGGGCCCATCTGTAAGCTCTTCCGATACTAGCTGGGCCCACCTGCCCAATACTGTCATGGGCCCAAAATTTTCCTGTTGGCTCTTCCGACATTAAATTCCCCCAAGAATAAGGACCTGGCCCATCCGTTAGCCCTTCCGATGTTAGGCCCATGTGCCTTGTGGAGACTTGGCCCAGCCGCCAACATGGGTGCTATTCCGTGCTGTGGGCCCATCCATGGGTAAGCATACATGGGCCCACGTTGGATGGCCCACCTAACTGGGTCAATTATCAACCTTTGGCTGTCCGACTAAGTTGAGAAATGTTACTGAAGGGGCTCATTTTTGAGGGGCCAGCTTGAGGAGATGGCGACCGACAGTCACTTCCATAATGGAGTGTGGTGGGAAGAGGGGATGGCCTTGAATTCGGCGATCATCCCCTCAAATCTGTGTCCACACAGGCGGGCTGCTGATCCTGGAGTTGTCGCTGTCCACATGCTCCTGCAATTCGGCAGCAGCTGACAGGATTAATGGTGACAGGACTGTCACCAAAGCGCCGTGTGTCATGAAGACCTCAGTCTAAAGAGCAATGAGACACGCCACACAAGCAAAGAGAAACTTACTATAGCCTGCGCCATGTTGGTGGCAAGTGAGATATGGTTTGAATCCTTGGGCTGCAACTGGCAGGCTTGCCCAAGGATATGTTCGATCTTGTCCGACAAATCGCGGAAAGATTGGTTAGCGGCGGCTACGCGGTTTGTTGGAGACATGGTGGTAGTAGTAAGATGAGGAACGGCGACAAACAGAACACAACATAATATATACAAATTTCATTTGGCCACAGTGGCGGCTGATTATGTCATTTTCCCATTGTCCGCCCACAGGTACCATACATTCAATTGTACAGGACCATCTCCACAAAGACCACTGTTTACACTCAATGTTCGGTGACCATTCACCATTAGTAGCATGCTGCACAATGAATTTGTGGATCTCCAAGGATGTGGCCAAGCGCCAATCAAAGATACCCACCATGAGAATTCAAATCCCGACCCATTAATCTATTTAAACCCTGTTTTGTACACATTTCGAGGTCAAAATTCATTCTCCCACCCATGTCTTCCCAACAAGACTTAGAATTTACCTTGAAGGATTTCACACAAATTTTCGAGCATGCCGGATCCCACCTGCTCGCCATTCGCATTAAGCTTGAGAAAACAAAGCTCACAATATCGCCAGACGATCGGCAAATATCTGAATTGGGACGTTGAAGTAAGTTCAACTTGTCCTATTTTGCACAGAGGTCAATTGAACTTCCAGGCTTACACACTCCCTTGGATGGCGTTTTGCGCCGGGTTGTCTATCAACCCACCACTATCAAAGCACCTCCGTCACATGGTTGGCGTGCTGTCAATGAAACAGCTCGACATGCTGAAAGATTATGTGGAGGTGTATGATGCATTCCTCAGTTTGCTGGTTTCGCCATCCGGGCCATGGACTAAGGGCCGCCGCATCCGGGAGTATCACCATGCTTGGTGGACAGACCTTGTGACCATCAAGCTGGATCGAAGGTTCTTGACAACATACCTGGACGGCCATGAGGTGAAGGAATGTGTCACGGCGCATTTTGCGCAATTGGTGAGTCATTGACTTCGCATGGATGACAACTAACAAACACCGGTTGCAGTGTGAGGGAGACGCCTTAGTCACACCGGCGACACCAGTTCAAGCAATGTCAATGCCGATTGCTCAGCAGCTAGCCACCATCCACGCTGAGGCTAGAGAAGAAGGTGAATATCTTTTAAAGATGTTGGAAGACAAGGTTCTAGAGGCGAAGATGGTGGCAGCCACTATGCTGAGATTGGACATGACATTAGGGGATGATGTACTGCAAGCCATCACAGTGTCTGACACACTAGTCAAGTATTTGAAAAAAGAGGCCACAGAATAAACACCGGTCTGAGTAGTTAGCATTAATGTGCTCCATGTAGTAATAGTTTCTTTGAGATATGAATAGAGATTCCAACCATGGCTGTCTTGACAGGATGCTGGTTCAATGGCTCATGAAAATCATCAACGGCCATACCGGTCTCATTTCATCTATAACAATTTGTAGGCATGGCGGTCAATCCTCTTATCATTGCTGAAGTTGCACAATCCTGCTGTTACGACAAACGGTCGTGTGCGACTAGGATGATCTAACAGCGACAACCACGACAGTGGTACCGAGTGCTGAGAGTCGTCGGCCTTTACAGACAAGCAAAGGTTGCGTACTCGAACGTAGCTCGTGGTGGTTAACGAGGGGTTACGCCGAGATGATAGCGGGTTTACAGACAGTGAGAGGCGTCACTGAAGGTATGAGTCGATGTCGAGCAGGTGGCTTTAGCGGGACAAGGAGTTTCAAGGGTAAACCTAGTTGATTAGACTAGTTTCTGGGTTGTACCTAGTAAGATTAAAGTAAGGAGCATCTACTTTAATCTACGACCTTATATAAGGCTACTCTTCATATCTAAGCTCAGCCTAAAGCTGGGTTCTAATCTGCTTATCTATATGAGTCAGAGATAGCGTCCATGAGGCAGGCTTCTATCGTAGATAGGGTCCACGCGGTGCCCTTCTTATCAGTACATGAGGCAACACGAGGCTTGCCTTCTATCTTGATAACATTAATAGGTCTTCTAGACCTATGTCGTCATATATCACGTGCGGTCCAGACCGCTTATCTAAGCCGGCAGTTGCCGCTTATCGTCTATCGTCATCTATCGTCATCTGTCGTCATCTGTCGTCACAGAGCTAGTGAGGCTCTGGTATCGTCTATAGAGCTGGTGAGGCTCTGGTGTCGTCTATAGCCGTGCGGGTGGCAGAGGGCTCTCTGCTGGCGGGGGACTCGTGCCATGTTACTGTAACACCTGCGAACGACATCACCGGGCATACAAAACAATGGCAGTGTGCTCCAGCGATATACCGCCAGCCTGACCAACTCAGTTAAGTTACTGTCTCACATGGTCCTGGACTTAATATTCACGCGGAGTCCGGCGGAAGCGACTGTGATGCTGCTTGACCACTTCCGGCAACTTTGCAGATGGCTGATAGCAGTGTGCCGGACTGTCCTGCTCGTGGACGTGGATTGGCTACCATTGCCAATGACCTCTGGCCGCGCCAATGGGTGCCATCCTGTGTGCTTTGGTGACAGTAAACTAATTGAGCATATATTGAAGCAGCCTTTGGTGTTCACTATACTAGTGTGTTACACCGGCGGCCATGCAGCCTTCGCCTGGTTGAATGAATCTCTCGCCTCTCTGAACAGACATTGATAAATTTTGCACCGCCTCTCCGAGTACGCCACATGACCATGCTTCTGGGCTAGCTTTGAGATGGCACCGAGACAGATCCATTCATCGGCCTTCTGAAGCAAAAAGTTACATGTCCAATCCATTTCATGCTGAACAAGCAACAACTCTTCTGCCCATCGGTCTCTCATAGCCTTGGCATGAAGCCAGTGAACACGGTAAACTGCAACATCGGCAGTATAAGTGCCGCTTCCACGGAGTATCGGTGACCTGCTCACACTCATTCAGCCAGTCACTGCTATTGGAGTCCCCTTCGACATCCAATGACCAAAACCAAGCTAACACATTGTTCCTCTGCCCTCTTGAATTTGGATCGGTGACGGCAGTACTGACCTTGAGATGCTCCCTTGTCAACGGTTGGTATCTCTTGAGCAGTGCATCGTCTGCGCCGAGTCTGCATAATTGTGATCGGCATTTTGAATAGATACTTGCATTGATGCTGACCACCCTGTCCACTGAATGAACTTGAGCCCAAGCTCTGGTAGACAATGCTTGTGATTTTGCTACTCTGACAGTCTTCCGGAAAATGACCACCTTGTCAGCCAAATGCACCCTGATGTGGTGCAGGGCATCATTCACCTGACCTTGCCGGAGCGTGAGTTCCTGATCGGCGATATCAGCAATGCCGAGGGCCACACATTTCTCTAGCCCCAAATTGGAAGGCAAAGGAATCACCCCCTTTTCCGGCTCAAACGCTCTAAGCTCGGCGTCCATATCTTCTTCAGTGTCTTCTTGAAGTATTAACAGATCTGGTTGCATGATCTGCATGTCATTGTTGCCTAATTCCTTGCCAAGAATTATTGCTCCGGCCACCATCCAGTGATCGATATCCCGTTGCAGGGTATCCCATCAGCGACCAATTGCCAATTGCTGAGTATCTGTTGCCTGATGTCCGAGCTTTCTCACATCCATCTGCAGCGTGACCTGGGCTTCCTCGATAGCAAGGCCCTCTGCCAGCCATGTTGCCGCACCTCTCCAGCGCACCTCGCCAGGCCGCCGGCCTTGCACCATTAACAACCTTACCTCTTGCTGTTTTCTTGTCGGCGCTGTGCAAGAATCAGAACTGACTGTCCGTACGAGAAGTCTACATACCTTTGCGCAGTTGAACTTCATAAATGTCCATTGCTGTTGGATCATGGCGCTGCTGTTCATGTGCCAACCTCTCTTGGGCCTCCCAATCTTTGACTTTATCGGCATCAGCGGTCTCATCAAGCTGCTCAAATGCCATGTTGCTGTCGGCGACCCCTTTCATAGCTTCCTTGTATTTTCGGCAAAGCGATTTGCCTGTACGGTCTCTGCTGTTAGATTCATGCACAGAATAAACGAGACACCCACTCATTCTGATCATTTTCATGAAGTTGCAATCATTCATTTGGTAATCCAGGCATTCTTTTCGGTGAGGAGTTCCCATGCCATGGGCCGCCAGTGAGATTATATTTAACGGCACCCATAATGTCTCCATGATCTCACTGTCAATCCTGGCTGCGCCTTGTATGAAATTGGAAGCATATCTGACATAGCAGCTGTCTTGATGGCCATGGACATGCCATAGTCCGATGCTGGGGTGATTTCCAGCTCGTCATGCATCTTCAGCAATGGACTGTCGGCGATGCGGTCCTGGAGGTGCTTATGATACTGACAGTTCACATCATAGAAGGTCAATACACGGCAGATGCCCTCGGCGTTGAGTTTCAACGCCTCACACAGCGCATAATCCATATTCATCTGTCTGTTGACAGTCGGTGATAACGCACACGGTCCGAGTGATTGTACACACCTTTCTCCCTTCTGAAAATCTACCATGGCATGCAGGACAAAACAACCATGCCTCGCACATGCGCATCTGCCGATGACAGTGGCCTCCAATCTGTGACGAGATGCATTTGCCAAATTTACCACGTGGTGGTTGTTGCACGGCATCCTTGGCAATGGCCAAATGCTCCTTGTACAAGGCATCGCCAACCATGAAGCCACGACCATCCATGAGAGACACTTCATCGGCGGGATTTGTGGCATGAAGATGCTCAGCTTTGAAGTTTCCGTCCATGACAAGCGATCTTGTGTATAACCAACTTGGAGTCTCTCGACCAGATCCATTGTTAGCATCGATGTCCTCGGTGGTGCCTGCCTCCGGCAGGCAATGTGACATTAATTCCTGGCTGAGGACATGCCAGACAAAAGAGGGCTAGATCGCCAGGTCTCACTTCCTTGTCCTCATGGCCGAAGCCATTCCACTTCAGGAGCTTCAACTTCCGCCATTGTCTTGCCACCCTCATGAGCTCCCGGTAACGGTCCTTTATGACAATTAATGAAATGGCAGATGGTGCACCACAAAGCTCACCAGCACCAAGTGAGGAAAGATGCTTGTGGTCATCCTCTTTAACTTGCTGTAATAATTCATTGCCGAAGTCCCGCACTCCAGGTTGTCGAGTAAGAAGTCGTTCAAGACATCAAAGGTAAATGCTGTCTTTGGTTCTATGAATGACGCTGGAAACAAACCCATGTTAAACAACTGTATATCGGTGGTGTCAGCCTCTGGACATGTGCAATACTTGATGATGTGGGTATGTACTCCGGATTTGTCGACTATTGTTGTCATGGCCTTGTTGCTCTTAATGAATGGCACGCCGGTCGGTAGGTCATGGGCCTCCTTTGTGCTCTGCTCGGCATTTGGTTCATTCAATATGCTCTCGGCATCCGTATCGTCGGAATCTCCTTCCCCTGTAGTGAACAGAGCTGACTCCCCTACATCATCATCCCATGGGCATGCATTTCCTCCATGTCCGAGCCAGATCACCATCCCACTCTTGACCAAGCAACTTTCCTCAAAGAACGAGCCTGTCCGTTGGCTAACCCGATAAAAGGGAAGCCTCTGGTGCTGGGTTCTGCAACAACTTGTGCAAAAGAGAGGCTTACCGAAGCATCCATGGCATTTATAGACACCATCTGTCCCACAGATGATACATGACCTATCTGATGGAACTTCTCTTTCAAGGAGTATGTCAAGATATGCTTTGGTCTTTGGGACCCATTGATGTATATAGTCATTTTGACTCTGAATACAGATCAGTGGTGAAATAGAGGTGATATCGGTGGATGGCTCACCAGGGACTTTGGCAGGTGCAGTGGAGTCACCATGTGATCACCAAGGTCGCCTGAAAAGTCATCTCCCCCATGGTAAAGCATACCATAAGATTCCTGCTTTGAGGGAGACTTAGTAGGGGTTGCTGGAACCAATCTACTAATGATAGGTCTTTCCACCCATTTGCCGACCACCTTTCTCATCCTATATGTTCTCTGCCATTCCACCACTGCATACTTACATTTTGGAGTCCACTCTTGTAGTCTAGAACCTCCCATTTGTTGAGCCCAGTACTGTATAAGAATCTGTAAGAATGACAAGTTTCAATTGACCAATGCAATATGGTCATATCAATTAATCACCATTGGTTACAAGTACATAATAAGAATTATAATATAAGCTGAACCGAGCAGAACACAGCAATCATATCCACTATATATCCATGATATGAACTGTAATATAGGGTGAATGAACTGAGCAGAACAGAACAAAACCATGGAACACTGACGACAGTCAACCAACTGTTGTTAAGTCTGGAAAGATTCACCATCACCATCCTTTATAACACAACATGCCAAGAAGTGAATCTCCTATTGTAGTTCCACAAAAAAAGGTTTGCTTGCAGAAGGCTGAAGTCTTGGTCCTCAGAGCCCACCTAGAAGACTGGAAGTCTGTGAAAGGTAAAGAAAGATCGAGGGTGCTGCTTGCCATCTACAAGGAAGCGTCCCTCCAAGCTCCCACCAAGGAAAAGGCCCTGTTGAAAGCTCGGCGAAAGGTATTTAACAGTTTATAACATATCGGAGATCCCGGAGCATGATAACATGTCTGTCAAAGATTTACAAGCAGTGGTTGCAGAACCAGTCTCGCCGGAGAGGAGCTGCAAAGCCCCTTATCAAGTATGGCCGTCATTGGACAGGCGAGGCAAGTCTTGATTCACACACACAAAGCCTCGATTCGACAGGAGATGGGAGAGATGGCTGGAAGCGAGGGGATGATTACCAGATGGCTGAAGGCAGCGAAAGACAGTCATTAATTGTTTGTCGGCGGAGGAGAGAGAGGAAGCGGAGGCCATGGCGGAGAAGTGGAACAACGAAGCGGCGCCGCCGGATATTTAGGCCGAGGTCACCGAGAGCAAGGGCGCCGACATGATCAAGCATTTCGCAACTGAAATGTTCAAGAAAGCCGGAATTAGGGTCTGCATCCTATCAGCTTGGAAGGACAGCCAAGGCAAGCTTATGTTGGGAGGGTGAGTGTCATCTCCAATCAATCGGCGATTTATTCAACAGTGACTGCAGCCACGACTTCAATGAACAGTTCGGGGATGGAGAGAGCTTTATCAAGACAAGGGATTGGGATGGTATCATCATGCCTGAATGGGTGGAATATGTGGGGGAGCAATTTGGTGAGGCCATGTGAATGTCTTACCGGCGAGCACACTGAGGCAAATGAATGTTTAGATGGCGGGGACGACAGGGAACCCCAGATGGTGAAATCAAAGAAACGAGTCGCCAAGAAATTAGTTGAACTTGACGAAGACGCTGATAGGTGGCCAATTCTGCCCGACACAACGGGTTGGAAACGAGCCGAACAACAGCATATGATTCGGTCTTTCTTGACGAAGCTCTATAGTACTTTGTTTTGCTCTGTCAGATTGTACATCATTCTGATTCTTAACAGGAATGTGCTCTGGCGAAGAAAACCTGAAAGCAGCGGTGCCATGGGGAGATGTAATCCATGACCCATGGGCGTTCTTTGACGGCGCCCATTGGCTGGCCGGCATGCAGCTCAAGGAGCCATCCAAGATGGATAAAGCAGATGCCACCACCGTACTAGATTTCTGGTTTGACCACCAGAAAAAACAACATGCAACCAGCCTTCTCATTCAAGGCCTGGAAAGATTCCGATGGCAAGATGCAAGAGGCGGACTTGTGGCCACCCAGTGCTCACCGTGCCAATGCCACAAAGCAGAGCACAGGGAAGGGTAAGGGCAAAGCCAACCCTAAAGCTAACCGCCGCTGTGTGGCGGAGGATAACAATTCGGAGGACGAGTTGAATGGTGATCTTGGAGAGGATGGTGTTAGTCCATCCAGTGAAGATGAGGAAGCACCATCCACCGGTGGAGAGCCCAAGATTTTGCCGCCCCCAAAGGTCGCCTTGCCGACCAAGAAGAAGCGGGCTGCAGGTTCACACTGGGATATCAGACAAGTTGTCGCCGAGGTCGGCGGGGTTTTGAATCCTCCGATGAAAGGTTCTATTCCCTCCAGACAGCCTCTCAAGTCACAGGGAATACCATTGAAGGTGCCGGCCACATCATTAGTGCCTGGAACTAGAAGCAAGGAGGTTGCATATACATCAAATGAGCCTCCCAAGAACTTAAACCGCTGTGGCACTCACGCCGTGAGTGACACGCCGGCAAAGCGAACCAGGAGTAAAACCACTGCGCCGGAAGCTTCAAGGGCTAAGCGTGGCAGGAAGTAATCATTATGTCATATTACATCTGTAGGATACACCGGCATGAAATACAAAGCACACTGTCCGCCGGTGCACATCAGTGTGACTCATCGGCAATGTGAATGTCTGGCCGTTAACATAACATTGGTGGTACTGAAGAAATAGCCGCGACTAATTGAAAGATATACTGTATGTACTACTGACTACCGGCGGTCCTCTCTGCTGTCTCAACCTCATTTGCAAGAGAGTCCATGAACGAAATCTGGCATATGTGGTGCTCAGATGCATGATGAAGGGTGATAAGATCCTTGAAGATCCTAGTCAACCAATCTCTGGACTCACAGAACACCGATAATACAGCGCAGTTGCTGTCCAAGACATCTTCTGGCATGGGATCTTGGACATCATCACCGGGCCTAATGAGGCTACCCAGCATTGTTTGGGCGAGTCGATCAACTGTAAATAAGTCAGTAAAGTTGGAAGAGTCATGTCAGTTGCGGGACTTACATTCATCCCCATTGAGCCATTTCACAATGTCAATGGCAGCCTTCTCAGCGTCGCCAATAAGGCGCCCCTCCCAGTTCGGCAAGGCCTTTGGTGTGTAAGGGTCTGACTCGGGAGCCGGTGCTGCCTCTGGCACAGCGGCTATGTTAGGCGCCGGTATTGCCATCGGCACCAGTGCTGCTTGTGGCACGGCGGCTGTAATAGGCGCCAGTGTCCATTTCCCTACCTTTGCTGGAGGGACCTTACAAACTGAACTGGAATGCTAGAATGGTGTTTAATCTTCGGATAACTCATGCATATAGATGAGCGACTTACATTTATTATTCTAGTCAAACCCAACATGGGTAGCAACAGCCGCTGTTGTTGAAGGTGGCTGTTTCCAGCCGAAGTTGAACTTGGCTGTATGTTCGGCCGCCGGTGCCTGAGGAGGAGTTGAGGGCAGCGGCGGAGACATGGGTCTCTTGAGAGGGATCACTGATGCTGGCACTCCATTGTCGGGAGTGTTGGAACAGCTACGGCGGGTGTGCCGGACATCCTGCGGCGAGGGCAGTGAGGGGAGAATCTCACTCTCCACATTCATTCCAAAGTTGAATGGTTGAGATGCCTGAACTGGCGGCTTCTCTGTGGCAATGGACCGAGTCCAGCCAAAATTGAATGTTGTGGGAGCTGGGGAAGATGGTGTGGGCTCTGAGTCAACTGCCGCTGGGCCTTGCTTGGTCGCTGTAAACCCAAAGTTAAATTTTTGAGGTTGTGGTGTCGTCAGAGCTGTTTGACATGCCGGGTCCGGCACAAGGGCCTCCGCTGTAACTTGCTTTCGCACCGGAAACCCAAAATTAAAGGTTCAGGGTATGGTACGCCTTGTACGCGCCAAGTCTGCCATAAGATGGCTGTGCAAATTCTCAAACCCAAAGTTGAACCCTAATTGGAAATAAATTAACAATCATGCATGCCACAGAAACACGTACTTGAAGGTTGGTTGCCAGTGTTGGAAATCGGCGAGTTGGAGGGTGTATCGCCGTTCGTGGGCAGCTCGAAATGGACGTGACGGTTGCTAGTCATATTGTAGAAAAAAGTAATGAGGTTTCAGATGAGTGATTGGAAGAACCGTCGAAGACGCGAGCATTAAATATGTGCCGATTAGTGTTGTGGCCGCATCTGCGGGGTTTAAACACTTAGCCAGGACAATAGATTATGTGCATGTGAAAGTTGACACGTGGTCCGAGATGTGGTCAGAGATCAGTGCTTCTGAATCCGCATGCCGCCGCATGGTACGGTGACCGAGCCGATTTTGTATTATGACATGAAATTTTAATTTGTTCATCTGCCATATAATGACAAGCGAATTGTCCCATTTTTGTTATCTCACGCTCACATTCCCTGCTCATCAGCCATCCTCAGAAGTTTGAACAAGGCCTTCAATGAGGTACTGCTGGCGTGCTCCAAATTTTGGCAAGAGCCTTGCAGTCGAGTGAAGGTCCTGCCGGCCAACCTGAAAATGGCCACAGGAATGGCAAACATCATGGTCAGCATGTCCTCATTAGTCCATGCCTGTCACCTAATTAAGCACAGACTCCGGCATTTCAAAATCATGCACGGTCAGCAACTGAAATCCCACCGATCCTGCTTTTGGCGGCCATGGAATTAATGGAGCATGTAGATCGTGTTAGTCAGACATCGTTCTTAGTGTCCCGGTGTGGAAACAACATCAAGTCTAACCGGACTCTCGCATCGAGCGCCAATCAGTTATATGGCAAGGCTCCACAGTTGGTAATTACGTATCGGCCCCAGCAACGAGTGTCGCAACCTCCAGATGCACCACCGGTCAAGGTGACAAATACACCGGCAGTCCCTTCAGTGGTAGCAAAGTCCAAGCCGCCTGGAAGATCTGTCACGCGAAGACGCCGATAGACTTGTGTGAGGACAGTGACAAAGTCGAAATTGTTGGGGATATCAGCCAAAGTGATGCTCTCCACAAGAGGAAGTGGAGGTCTACTGGTGCATCCGAAGAGGTCGCCATGTGCCATGAAGACAGGTCATCGCGCCAGGATTGTGGACAAAGCTGAGGATGTCGCCCCGGCAATACAAATACAACGCCGACTAGACCGAGGCCAAAGCCGAAAAGCAAGCGGGTGGAGATAGTAGTGTCGTCTGGGTCTGAGGTCCCAACGGATAGGCAAGGGAAGGGAAGGGAAGTTACGTTGCTCAGAGATACACCAGCAGGACCGTGAGTGGAAGAAGTCTAGAGATGTGAGTTCTGGCAGGCTGCCGAAACAGGCCTCTAACCATCCTCCGCCGATGCGAAACGCTGGTGATCAACGGAAACCATGGTATGAGGTTCAGGTCGGGAGCTTTGTCATTCTATCTTTATGTTTGTCTCATGACTGTATCTCCAGAAAAGGGCCAGCACTAGGGCTGCCACACGCGACCGGCAACAAAGTGAAGCTATGTTGGCGGAACAAAAGGCAATGGTCGCCCCTGAGCCTGTGGGTACCAGGAGCGGCAATGCAGGCTGATGTCAATGCTGTAAGCTCCCAAAATGCCTTCAGTCTTCCTCCATCTTATTCGGTAAAGAACACTCCCACCGCCGCAATTCCACTCATGCCGCCTCCTCGTCCAACTCAATCCTCTGTCATTCACCGAAGAAATGGAAGTTGACGCGTCCGGTGACACGGTTGCGAAGGATTTGCAGGCCATGACACTAGAGGTGAAACTTGATTCGGTGTCGCCCCTCGCTGGTTCAGGACACCATCAATGACCTTCAGACTCAGGTGGCCGACATCCGAACTCGGAACGCTCAGATGGCCGAGTTGGTTCAAATCATGAACGGGTGCCTTGCTGCTCAGGATACTGACATCCGAGCTATGGAGAAATGTGTGCCGAGATCGCTGTATTGCAAGAGGGTGAAGGCCTTGCATGCCGAATTTCAGACTCGTGAGGCTCAATCCGGAGCGCTGATGCAATGTTGACTGCACAAGGACATCGTACCACCGTCCTGATGGATGCCTATGAGTCCATCCGCAACGTGTTGTCCCCAACCCACCCGTACCTCATTTTAATAATGCTGTGTTCTTCCCCCCGCCGGTCATCCAGTCCCATACATCAAGGCATGATGCCGGCAGGCGCAGGCAATGGAACAGCTTTATTTCAATTTCACACCCCAGGTCCGTCTACAATCGCAGGTACTCCGTTCCAG